CGTTCCCATAGGAGGCTTGTGAATTGGGTTCCTCGGTCCGAGACGATCGAGTTTGGGAATCCGTGTTGTCGTACGAGGCTGTCAATGATTGCCCATGCGGAGTCTTCGGCCGAAATTGACTTCATCGGCCTTAGGATCACTCCCTTTGTCAGCCGATCTGTGATTACCAAGATGTTCGTACGGCTGTCGCTTGGTGGTAAATCGGTGATGAAGTCGAGGGCCACGTCTCGCCATGGTTGTTCTGGCACCGGGAGCGGCTTTAGGAGGCCTCGCTTCAGCTCTCGCCATGGTTTCGCCCCGTTACATAGGTCACAGTTCCGTACGAATCTCCGGATGTCGATCGACATATTCGGCCAGAAGTACTCGCGGCTAACCACTGTATAGGTCTCCTCCCTCCCTGGGTGTCCGGTGAGTCGAGAGTCGTGTGCGGTCTGAATGATTTTCGTACGAAGGGGCTCAGAGTTAGGGACCCATAACCTTCCGCGGAAGCGAAGTTTCTGGGCTTGGTCGATTGTGCATTCGGAAGTTGAGACTTTTAGCTTTAGTTCTGGTGGGAACTTCCGTAGGCCCTGTTGTAGTGTCCGTATAGCGCCCTGGTACTCGTCATCCCCATCTCTCGCTAGCTCCCAGTCTTGTTCGTCAGGGGTTTGCTGTGCGGTCGTGGCATGGATATTCACAGTAGCCTTATCGTCTCCTATCTGCGTTAGGAGACACTTCGTACGATCTGCGATTCTTGGGTCTTCCTCGGTTGGGTTGTCTTGGTCTCGTCGTGATAGGGCGTCCGCTCGGGCGTTGTCTGTACCGGGGCGATATTGGAAGTCGAAGTTGAACCTACTTAAGAAGAGTGACCACCGCATATGCCGTTCAGTGAGCTTCCTTGGTTTGAAGAAGTATTCTAGGTTCTTATGGTCGGTGATAACGAGGAATTTCCCTTGGACTGAACGTAGTTCTGCGTCCCATGCTTCTAGGCATCGTACGACAGCGAGCAGCTCCTTATCGTAGATCTCATAGTTACACTCGGCGGGAGCGTTTTTCTTGGAGAAGTAGGCGCATGGTCGTAGCACACCCTTATCATCGTACTGTGAGAGGACTCCTCCAACCGTGTATCCTGACGAGTCGGACTCTACCACTGTCGTACGAGATGGGTCAAAGGCTGCTAGTATCGGCTCTGTTGTGAAGAGTCGTTTTAGCTCCTGGAAGCTCTTCTCGCATATAGTAGACCAGACAAAGGGGACGTTGTTTTGCGTGAGTTGGGTAAGAGGTCGTACGACTTCTGAATAGTTTGGGATGAATTGTCGGTAGAAGTTGGCAAAGCCGAGGAATCCCCTCACGCCTCGGACTGTGGTTGGTGTTTCCCAGTCGAGTATCGCTTGCACTTTTTCAGCGTCCATCTTAACCCCTTCTCCTGCTCGTACGATAAAGCCAAGGTACTTGGTTTCGGTGCATTCGAATTCGCACTTCCCAATATCCAAGTGTAGGCCAGCTTCCTGTAGCTTCTGGAGGACCTTCTTTACGTGTTTTCGATGATCTTCGATGTTCCCTTCCGAATAGATCAATACATCGTCGAGGTAGGCGGAGCAGAAATCGTCTAGGTATTCTCGTAGGGACCAGTTGATATATTTCTGGAATGAGCTCGGCGCGTTGGCCAGGCCAAAGGGGGTAACAAGCCATTCGTAAAGTCCGTACCTCGTACGAAACGCGGTTTTCCATTCTTCTCCTTCGGCAATCCGGATCTTATGGAACGCGGCTGATACGTCGAGTTTCGTGAACCATCTCGCTCGTCCGATCTGGTTCAGCGTCTCATGAATCAGGGGAAGGGGGTAGCGGTCCTTTTTTGTGAGAGCGTTTAGCGCTCGGTAGTCGACGCAGAAACGGAGCCCTCCTCCTGGCTTTCGTACGAATAGCACTGGTGCTGCTGCTGAGGATTTGCTAACCCTAATGAAGTTCTTATCCAAGAGCTCATTTAGGGTCTTTCGTAGCACTAGAAGTTCTTCGTTCGACATATTGTAGAGGGGCCCCCAGGGGACTATTGGTTCTTTACCATTTTCTCGTATAAGTTCGATTTTATGGTCGATTCCTTCCCCGCGGTGTGGTGGGAGTTTAGTCGCTTCGTCGGGGTCAAATAAAGGGAGGAATTCGTGGTACTCAGTGGGGAGTTCCACCTTTAGGTCCTTTGGTTTCTTGGTTTTCAATGCTTTCTCGATATCGGCCATAGAGACAGCAAAGATTTGGGAATCGTACGAATTATGGTCTTTTATTGCTGACTGAATCTCTCTATGCATTGAGAGTGCCGAGATCTCTGTAGTATCGGGGAGAGGAGTTTTGCCGATCCCATAGAGGCGGGTTTTCGATGATCGAAGATATAACCGGTTCCTTAAAGGTTCGAAGCAAGCGTTCTGTTGTCTCAGCCAGGGTAGGCCAAGAATCAGGTCGTATCCGATGGAATCAGGGATCATATAGAAGTAGGTCTCTTTCTCAAAGTGGTGGTCAATTGAGAGGGAGGTTCGTACGATTTGTGAAATCGTCCCCTTTCCTCCTATTCCTCTTAATGTTCGTGGTAGGATCTCGAAAGTCTCTAAGTTCCTTTCTTTCGCAAAGGCTTCACTGATAGCTCCGTACGATAGGCATCCGCTATCGACTAAGGTACGGGCCATAGCTTGTCGGTCTAGGGTCGCGGCAATGACAAACGGTGGGGAGTTCATACGCGTGGCTTCAAATTCTTCCCAAACAGAATGTTTCAATTTTGAAGTATCTAGCGACCTCCGTACACGATTTCGTACGAAGGTTATTCTTTTCCCGAGTCGTTGTCTCCATCTGCATCGACAGCGTTCACCTCTAGAGGTCGGGTGGCAGGCCGTAGTCTACAGCCCGCAATCAGGTGCCCTCTCTGTCCGCAGCGTAGGCATTCCCCCTTCATTCGGCGTTGGTCAATCTCTTCCCGGGAGACCCATTTTGCCCGTTCGTTCGTACGAGAAGGACTGCTCCTTTGGTTTGTCTTTAGGGCCGCGATCTCGGCTTCTAGGGCGGCGATCCTAGTTGCTTGAGTAGGTTCCCAGTCCATCCTGCCGGCGTCGTCTTGGGTGTTGCTGAGATTGCCACGGAAGAAGGGTCTTAACTTCTTCTTCTGGAGCGTTTCAATCTGCCGAAGGTCGTGGTCGATCCGAAGAAGGCGGTTCCGGTAGTCATCGTACGAAGCGAATTCAGCTCCGACGGTACTCTGGAGTAGATCGACGTTGATTGCGGTCCGGAGAAGGGCCATCTTCTGGGCATCGGACCAGTGTAATCCACCCGCGGTAACTAGTGTCTGGTCGAACTCAGATAGGAAGTCGTGGAGACTCCTCCTACCCTGCTTCATCGAATTTACTCGTACGAGGGCACGTTGTTCCTTGTCTGGGTCTTCAAAGTAGAGATCCATGGCTTGGTAAAATTCATTGAGAAGGAGGGGTTTCTTCTCATTCTCCATTGCTACGATCCATGCGTGGGCTTGCTGGCTCGCAATGCCTTCTAGCCTACTAAACGCGTAGTAGGTCTTCATTTCCTCGGAGTGATAGTAGTGGGCATCCATCAAGAACTTGATTTTCAAGTTCGTACGAAAGGCTGCGTACTCCTTAGGGTCCTGTCCATTGTAGGTTCGTACATCGGGGTAAGTTGGCCGGGTCGGCCCCCTTTCTATCCTATCGTTCTCTCGTGGTGGGGGAAGATCTCTCCCATCGCTTGTTGTGCCGGTAGTGCGTCTGGTAGGTTGTCGTGATCAAAGGTATTATGTCGTCGTGGTTGGTAAGACATCTTGTCTCTCACTCTGTACTAGTAGGAACTCCTTACTAAGCGTCGATAAAGGTGACGAACGAAACCTAATGTTACGGAACTAGCCTAGTTGTGCAACTTAGACGGGTTTTAAGAACAAGAAGGTTTCGTTGAGGAGAGGAGTTCTCCTGAGCTAACAAATGTGTACATATTCCGTCGAAGGCGGTAACGTTTGGCAGATTCCGCGCAGCATAAGCAAGCATCTTCCATAGGGCTTCGTACGAAGTACGACGGCCCCATAACACTCCTACGTGTTTATGTCTTATCTATAATTTCTTCGATCTCCCACTCTTCTTAGTCGTCGACTATGATTGCTAGTGGTTGCGGTTCGTGTGCTAGTTAGGACGGAAGGGGGTCTTATATCGCGAGTCGTACGAGGTTAACATAGAATACTAGGTGAATGCCGGGTGGCGTATCTAGTCGTACTACGTGGGAACTAATAACTTCCTAAACCCTATATTTTGCGTTCTTCTAGTCGAGCTTCTTATAGGGTCGTTCGGTCTATATATTTTTTAGGTTTAACTAAATAGCGTCTCCGACTTAGAAGGTAGGCGCCGGTTATCGGTGCCGGTTAGCGTTTACTTCTATCTATTGGTTAGCGTAGGCTATCGATACACGTGCCTAGTCTATAGCTCTAGCTAGCTTTCGTACGATCGTTTCTGCTTTTTAGATTGGGCTTGGTTCTGGCGTGGTAATAGTGCTGTTTATACGCGGTTCCTCGATTGGTGGGTTAAATAGAGAGAGGTTATAACCGTGGGTTAGGAAGAAAGGGCTTACGCCGGTTACTACGGAGACTCGTCTATTTAACGCAAGTTCGGCTAGAGTGCGCCAAAAACCGCAAAACCGCAAAACCAAACCGCCCCAAACCGCAAATGGTTTGGTTTTTGGGGCCAGTTTCAGAAACCATTGCGGTTTTTGGTTTTCGAGGCCCAAACCGCAATGGTTCTTGGGGCCCCAATGGTTTGGCAAACAATGCAAACTGGGTGGGTCCTTGTCAGTGTATAATTTATGCGGGTTTTCTCTGTTTCTTAGGGTATTTGACTTCGAAGATATGATATATGTGAAATAAGTGCTTTAGGCTTAGGCACTTGATTTCTGACCGCGGTCAGAAATATAGGGTTCTCTTATTATAGTACTAGCTTTTTGACCGCGGTCAGAAATTAGTGTAATGATTGAATTCGCTATCCTGTTGATCGCTAATAATACTGGTATAGATCCTCGTCATGTCTGATCCGTTTCCGAGCTCTTACAGAAGCACGTATCTGAGTGCTTTTATCTTTATTAGAAGGAAGGGGAGGGTCAGTATCATGATCGATCATAACCTGTATATCCTCCCTACCTTGCACCTCTTCCTCTTCCTGGGTTTACTCTTCCTCAGTATCACTAATCGGATCGACGTTCACTGTATCAGTTGTGATTTCCTTCTCCTCCTTTGCCGCTTCGATCTCGTCGCGAGTAAAGAATTCCTGTAGGAATACTGCCTGTTCCTCCTCGATCTCGAATTTTGAAGTACAAAGAAACATCATTAACTCCTGGATAGTTGTTGCACTTAATCTTCCACGGCGATAGTGACAGATATCTCGGGCAGTATTAAAAAGTCGTTCAACACCAGCACCAGTCGCAGGGACTGAAAGCACATCTCGTGCAAGGGCTGCAAGAGTTGGGAAACGATAGGCATTCTCCCTCCAAAACACTAAAGGCGCTATATCTATAGTAGCTTGTGGGATAATTAATATCATATAAAGCAAAGTAATTAAGGATACATACCACTATCAAGATATTGCGAAAGCTCATCGCCTGCTACAGCAGAGCGGGGACGCTTTGGCTTTACCATCGAGTCTAGGCGCGATATTCCTCCCCCTAACGAAAGAGATAGAGGAGACGTCGGTTGCTGGGCAAGACGTTCTTTATAAACAGCCAAATGCTCTTCAAGAGACTTTCTGTATATCGTACGCCAACGATCATCCCAATCATCTGTTTGGAAGAACTGGAATTTGTTCGCTGGAGCTAGCATTGTAGTGATTGCATAAAGATGCCCTCGTACGTTATCTGTCTCAGAGTAGTACTCATCAAGCTTCTTTCGCGCAGCTTGTAACGCCTGAAGCATCTGTCGCTTCCAGGTAGTCTTCTTCCGCGTAAGCTGGGTGATTGATAGCTCTAGGTGCTCAAACAGCTTGTTATAAATCAGAAATACATGATGTGTAGTGGCATCCCGGGTTTTTGAAAGTTCAACTGTGAAATCAAAGAAGGGCTGGGTAATGAAGAGAAGGTAGTCAACCTGGCGCCATTCTTCGTCCTCGAGTACCATATCAGGCCGCTCATACTCATCACAAAATGGCTGGAAAAACGATCGTAAGCGTTTTGCACGTCGAAGCATTAGAAACGTAGAATTCCAGCGTGTCTTAACGTCTTGAAGAGGCATAAGCTTTGTTGTTTCGCCTTGTAGATTGTAGAAGGTTTCCCGTCGTTGGGGACTTGCATTCACATAGATCGCAAGGTTTCGAATCTAGATATCGTAGTTAGTATAATATAAAAACTCTAGATTGTATAAATATATACCTTCGATAGTGTATTGGCAATATTTTGCTTAGTTGCATTCATACGCGCTGACTGGGATCGCTGCTCTGTCCACCGTGTCTCCGTTGATTCATTGAGCGGGCAAGCCTTAATATACCCAAGAAGCTCATTAAGGCTCAGCTGAATCACATGGGCAAGACAAGGGACCCTAATAAGGGTAGTGTCTTCTGATATTGCTTGTTGTAGTGTATCAACCAATGTCTGGTTATTTGATGCATTGTCAGTCGTGATTGCGAAGACCCGATCTTCGATCTTATGTCGCAAAAGTATATCGAGGAGTACAGAACTTAGGTTCACACCAGAGTGTGATCCGTAAAGGGGTTCAAAGCCGAGAAGAACCTCACGGTATTGCCAGTCCTTATCGATAAAATAGCCAGTTATAGCCATAAATGCCTGTGTGAAAGGCGAGGTCCAGCAATCAAGAGCAATTGATATTTTTGTATCTTCTGGGAGCATTCTTAGAATTCTTTCCTGTTGTTGTTGTACGGAGGATTGTAGCCGGCGTCGTATAGTCTTTGCTGAAGGGATATCCGGGACCCTCGGTGCAGATTGGGCTATCTGGATTAAGCGATGAAACTTAGGATGCTCGATCAGCCGAAAGGGAAGACGCGCGACCGTAAGAAATGTAAGAAGCTCTTGTTCCCATATCTCTTGACTGAATTCATTGGCGATCGGCGTATTCTAGTTATAGTCTAGGAATTAGACTAGAACTAATTATAATAATAGACGAGAAACATACCTTGAGCTGTAAAAATCGAGTGATATCTGTCCCTTGACCTTGGGTAGCTTTTATACACCCTGCGCTAGAAAGGTGGCCTTTCATAGTTGAGGTTCCTTGACGCTGTTTCTTCCCATCTTTTGTCTCACGGACAAAGTTTGGGTGCTCAAGAATCTGTCCACAGCGCTTGCACATAACCTTTGCAGTACCATCAGAGCTATGGGCGACCTGGTGAAATGTGTCCCAGGTACTAGACTGATGTTTCGCGTCCCAGGATATATGTTGTTTCTTACCGAAGCCTGTCTCTAGCCACCAACTTACCCAGTCGTTATGGAGCATTTCGTCATAGAGAAAATAGACCTTCTTACGACCAGGGCCAACACGTGTGAATGTTGAAGGGATTGATGGAGGTAGGGACGGTCGGAGGAAGTCCGTTTCGAATGAAGGTAATGTTTCCTGACTCTCAGATAGATCAGATATAAAAGGATGATTGTGAGTATAATTGTCGAAATCACTATCGTAGATCGATGAGGAGAAGGCAGATTGCTGGGTTTGAGACATGATGAGTATGAAAACACAACTACTAATGGTAAATACTAAGAGGGAAGGGTCAGACTTACATAAATTATACAGATTCTAACTAACTATATAGACGCGACTGACAGGACAACAAAGGATTCCTAAATAAGTGGATATATCGCGATTTAATTAGTATACTAAGCCGCTAATTGGATAACAGTAGCTTACTATATGGGTCAAAACCGCAAGAAACCATCAAGAAACCGCAAAAAACCAATAAAAACCGTAAGAAACCATTAAAAAACCGCAAGAAACCGCAAGAAACTTTAAATCATTTTTCCGCCGAAAGCTACCTCGAAAATTGAGCCTAAGGCAGCAGCTATATCAAAGTCTCAACTAAATAACTAAGTGACTTTAAACTAATTTTACAGTCTATAAACTAAGGAGTTATTATTGAAATAGGATAATATTTATAAAAAGGATAATTCGTAATTGATTAATATAAGTTATAATATTATAATACCTTTATTTAAAAAGTTGTAGGGAAACTGTAGTGATCAGGGAAAGATATATATTAAACTGTTATATTGAATATATATTTCCGCGATAAAATATAGAAGAACATCTAAGACCCAACAATTTCTCCTTTTTATTATCCATATAATAGGCTGATACTAGTACTAGTTAAGGCTTAGGCTCTACCCACGTAGTATATTTCTGACCGAGGTTAGAAACAAATGCTACCGCCCACGCGGATATAAAGTATAGTTGTGACCAATACAAGGTTAAATAACAGTAATATATTAGCATGAGTCACCCAGTTTATGTATGCCAAGACCTCAATTTTATACAAAAATGGTTTTTGTTGGGGCCCCATTGGGGAACCGCAGTGGTTTGTGGTTTGGTTGCGGTTTGGGTGGTTGGAAACCGCAACCACTGCGGTTTGGTTTTTGGGGGCAAACCTTGCCCCCAATTGCGGTTTTTGGCGCACTCTAAGTTCGGCTATTAGGAGTAGGCGTTTCTAGTCGTTCTGTTTAAATCGTACGAAGAGGCGTAGGTACACTTCTAACGTGCTATTGTGTCGTTCGGTCTATCTATCGGTCTCGGGGTGGTAGGCCGTCGATAGCCGTCGTATAACCTTATATAGCTGGTAGATCCGTTCCTATAGGAGGCTTATAAATTGGGTTCCTCGGTCCGAGACGATCGAGTTTAGGAATCCGTATTGTCGTACGAGGCTGTTAATAATTGCCTATACGGAGTCTTCGGCCGAAATTGACTTTATCGGCCTTAGGATCACTCCCTTTGTTAGCCGATCTATGATTACTAAGATATTCGTACGGCTATCGCTTAGTGGTAAATCGGTGATAAAGTCGAGGGCCACGTCTCGCTATGGTTATTCTAGCACCGGGAGCGGCTTTAGGAGGCCTCGCTTTAGCTCTCGCTATGGTTTCGCCCCGTTATATAGGTTATAGTTCCGTACGAATCTCCGGATATCGATCGATATATTCGGCCAGAAGTACTCGCGGCTAACCACTATATAGGTCTCCTCCCTCCCTAGGTGTCCGGTGAGTCGAGAGTCGTGTGCGGTCTAAATGATTTTCGTACGAAGGGGCTTAGAGTTAGGGACCTATAACCTTCCGCGGAAGCGAAGTTTCTGGGCTTGGTCGATTATACATTCGGAAGTTAAGACTTTTAGCTTTAGTTCTAGTGGGAACTTCCGTAGGCCCTATTATAGTGTCCGTATAGCGCCCTAGTACTCGTTATCCCTATCTCTCGCTAGCTCCTAGTCTTATTCGTTAGGGGTTTGCTATACGGTCGTGGCATAGATATTTATAGTAGCCTTATCGTCTCCTATCTACGTTAGGAGACACTTCGTACGATCTGCGATTCTTGGGTCTTCCTCGGTTAGGTTATCTTAGTCTCGTCGTGATAGGGCGTCCGCTCGGGCGTTATCTATACCGGGGCGATATTAGAAGTCGAAGTTGAACCTACTTAAGAAGAGTGACCACCGCATATGCCGTTTAGTGAGCTTCCTTGGTTTAAAGAAGTATTCTAGGTTCTTATAGTCGGTGATAACGAGGAATTTCCCTTAGACTAAACGTAGTTCTACGTCCTATGCTTCTAGGTATCGTACGATAGCGAGCAGCTCCTTATCGTAGATCTTATAGTTATACTCGGCGGGAGCGTTTTTCTTAGAGAAGTAGGCGCATAGTCGTAGCACACCCTTATCATCGTACTATAAGAGGACTCCTCTAACCGTATATCCTAATAAGTCGGACTCTACCACTATCGTACGAGATAGGTTAAAGGCTGCTAGTATCGGCTCTATTGTAAAGAGTTGTTTTAGCTCCTAGAAGCTCTTCTCGTATATAGTAGACTAGACAAAGGGGACGTTGTTTTACGTGAGTTAGGTAAGAGGTCGTACGACTTCTGAATAGTTTGGGATGAATTGTCGGTAGAAGTTGGTAAAGCCGAGGAATCCCCTTACGCCTCGGACTATGGTTAGTGTTTCCTAGTCGAGTATCGCTTACACTTTTTTAGCGTCTATCTTAACCCCTTCTCCTACTCGTACGATAAAGCTAAGGTACTTGGTTTCGGTGTATTCGAATTCGCACTTCCTAATATCTAAGTGTAGGCCAGCTTCCTATAGCTTCTAGAGGACCTTCTTTACGTGTTTTCGATGATCTTCGATATTCCCTTCCGAATAGATTAATATATCGTCGAGGTAGGCGGAGCAGAAATCGTCTAGGTATTCTCGTAGGGACTAGTTAATATATTTCTAGAATGAGCTCGGCGCGTTGGCTAGGCTAAAGGGGGTAACAAGCCATTCGTAAAGTCCGTACCTCGTACGAAACGCGGTTTTCTATTCTTCTCCTTCGGCAATCCGGATCTTATAGAACGCGGCTAATACGTCGAGTTTCGTGAACTATCTCGCTCGTCCGATCTGGTTCAGCGTCTTATAAATCAGGGGAAGGGGGTAGCGGTCCTTTTTTATAAGAGCGTTTAGCGCTCGGTAGTCGACGTAGAAACGGAGCCCTCCTCCTAGCTTTCGTACGAATAGCACTAGTGCTGCTGCTAAGGATTTACTAACCCTAATAAAGTTCTTATCTAAGAGCTCATTTAGGGTCTTTCGTAGCACTAGAAGTTCTTCGTTCGACATATTATAGAGGGGCCCCTAGGGGACTATTAGTTCTTTACCATTTTCTCGTATAAGTTCGATTTTATAGTCGATTCCTTCCCCGCGGTGTGGTAGGAGTTTAGTCGCTTCGTCGGGGTTAAATAAAGGGAGGAATTCGTGGTACTCAGTGGGGAGTTCTACCTTTAGGTCCTTTGGTTTCTTGGTTTTTAATGCTTTCTCGATATCGGCCATAGAGATAGCAAAGATTTAGGAATCGTACGAATTATAGTCTTTTATTGCTAACTAAATCTCTCTATATATTGAGAGTGCCGAGATCTCTGTAGTATCGGGGAGAGGAGTTTTGCCGATCCTATAGAGGCGGGTTTTCGATAATCGAAGATATAACCGGTTCCTTAAAGGTTCGAAGTAAGCGTTCTATTGTCTTAGCTAGGGTAGGCCAAGAATTAGGTCGTATCCGATAGAATCAGGGATCATATAGAAGTAGGTCTCTTTCTCAAAGTGGTGGTTAATTAAGAGGGAGGTTCGTACGATTTATAAAATCGTCCCCTTTCCTCCTATTCCTCTTAATATTCGTGGTAGGATCTCGAAAGTCTCTAAGTTCCTTTCTTTCGTAAAGGCTTCACTAATAGCTCCGTACGATAGGTATCCGCTATCGACTAAGGTACGGGCTATAGCTTATCGGTCTAGGGTCGCGGTAATAATAAACGGTGGGGAGTTTATACGCGTGGCTTTAAATTCTTCCCAAATAGAATGTTTTAACTTTGAAGTATCTAGCGACCTCCGTACACGATTTCGTACGAAGGTTATTCTTTTCCCGAGTCGTTGTCTCTATCTATATCGATAGCGTTCACCTCTAGAGGTCGGGTAGTAGGCCGTAGTCTACAGCCCGCAATTAGGTGCCCTCTCTATCCGCAGCGTAGGCATTCCCCCTTTATTCGGCGTTGGTTAATCTCTTCCCGGGAGACCTATTTTGCCCGTTCGTTCGTACGAGAAGGACTACTCCTTTGGTTTATCTTTAGGGCCGCGATCTCGGGTTCTAGGGCGGCGATCCTAGTTGCTTAAGTAGGTTCCTAGTCTATCCTACCGGCGTCGTCTTAGGTGTTACTAAGATTACCATAGAAGAAGGGTCTTAACTTCTTCTTCTAGAGCGTTTTAATCTGCCGAAGGTCGTGGTCGATCCGAAGAAGGCGGTTCCGGTAGTCATCGTACGAAGCGAATTTAGCTCCGACGGTACTCTAGAGTAGATCGACGTTAATTGCGGTCCGGAGAAGGGCTATCTTCTAGGTATCGGACTAGTGTAATCCACCCGCGGTAACTAGTGTCTAGTCGAACTTAGATAGGAAGTCGTGGAGACTCCTCCTACCCTACTTTATCGAATTTACTCGTACGAGGGCACGTTGTTCCTTGTCTAGGTCTTTAAAGTAGAGATCCATAGCTTGGTAAAATTCATTGAGAAGGAGGGGTTTCTTCTTATTCTCTATTGCTACGATCTATGCGTGGGCTTGCTAGCTCGTAATGCCTTCTAGCCTACTAAACGCGTAGTAGGTCTTTATTTCCTCGGAGTGAAAGTAGTGGGCATCCATTAAGAACTTGATTTTTAAGTTCGTACGAAAGGCTGCGTACTCCTTAGGGTCCTATCTATTGTAGGTTCGTATATCGGGGTAAGTTAGCCGGGTCGGCCCCCTTTCTATCCTATCGTTCTCTCGTGGTGGGGGGAAGATCTCTCCCATCGCTTATTATGCCGGTAGTGCGTCTGGTAGGTTGTCGTGATCAAAGGTATTATGTCGTCGTGGTTAGTAAGACATCTTGTCTCTCACTCTATACTAGTAGGAACTCCTTACTAAGCGTCGATAAAGGTGACGAACGAAACCTAATGTTACGGAACTAGCCTAGTTGTGCAACTTAGACGGGTTTTAAGAACAAGAAGGTTTCGTTAAGGAGAGGAGTTCTCCTGAGCTAACAAATGTGTACATATTCCGTCGAAGGCGGTAACGTTTGGCAGATTCCGCGCAGCATAAGCAAGCATCTTCCATAGGGCTTCGTACGAAGTACGACGGCCCCATAACAATACTAATATATAAGTAAAAAATAGTAATTTATTAAAATAAGTTAGTATTTTATCCATCTATTTTAGGTAATCCTTAGTTAGCAGAATTATACTAGCGTAGCACTAAAACTGGTGCTACGACGGTGCTGTAGCACTTGGTGCCGCAGCACCATATAACAGTACCAAAATTGGCTCAGTCCCGCAGCACCTCGCAGCACCATATCGCAGCACCAAAATTGCCTTGGTGCTGCGGGACTTGTCAAGGCCTATAAGGGTGGGCGATGGGCGTTAAATTTCAAAAGGCCCACGGGCCGTGGACACTTCCTGGTGCCTATGGACGGGCGATGTCGCAGTCTACTCCTTCTTAATCGTATACCGGATTGTAGAGAGAAAAATCTATGGATATCTCTGGTGGATTCGTTTGTAGCCCCATTGAACGGCTGAATTGAGCTCACAGATCCTCCCCCGGAGGGCTGGCGTAAGTTCTGAGCGAGCAGGCATGTAAAGATCAAAAGAAGAGAGTGGTATGAGATGTAGAGAGAGGAAAGCATCGAGAATTATAAGGGGGGGGGACGCGAGATATACGCGCTATAGATGAAGGCGTACTAATGCGGTGTAGGCTATATAGGAAGGCGGTATATAGGGACCAAAGGGGGTGTTAAAAACTTTATGAACAGTCACTGTAAGCCCTGCAAGCCGCATCACATTCGTACGATCACGTGATCCAGACACATTCAAATATGTGTGTCACGTGGTGTGCAGCCAACGCTATTTGCTTAGCTGTATAGTCACCTCTCCATTTCCATCTTTTCCTGCTTTCCCCTCCTTTTCAAAGACAGTTGCCCTCCTTCATCACATAGTACCATCAGACTGTTTTGCAAAACCTACCACCTCCTTTCTCAAGTCCTTAGCCCTGCTCAACTTCTGAATTCCATTCATTATCACGCTGCCATTTCCTACGTGATAGTGGGAGGCCAGGTGAACCATGGGTCCATTCAAAGCATCTCGTCCCTACGTGCCTTCTCCATGAAGCACACCTTCCCCAACTCCAGCCTGTAAGTCTGGGAGCTCCCGGTTGATTGTTGGGTTGATGTAAGTCTTCACTCCAATACATCCATGCGCCATTATGATTGACCACGCAACAGATCGCACCACCTCCACCTCCACCCTACTCTCGCCGTTCATCGGCTGCTCATACCATGACAACTTCTTCATCAGGGTCCAGCATTGCGTCATCTGGTTTATTCTCCGCGGCAACCAAGGCAGAAACACTACGAATTGCCGGTACTACGTGTTGGGCGTGCTCGACAAGAGCACCGGAAATTTGTCATGTCGTGCCCCATCATGACCCCCAGGTGCCTTCAGAATACCCTATATTTTTTTGAGCTCTAAGCTAATAAGTCCCGCTTTATTTAGATTCCTGTATGGGAGCAAGCTGGACTGTTTATCTTCAACTACAAAAACACCCAAAACACAATTCCTCTCTGTGGATCTTGCCATAACGAGTTCGATATGTCACTTGACCCCGGATACGTTTTTGTCCCAACAGATATACAGTACTTTATTGATTTTGAACGCCGGGATCGTGCTCGCCGAGAACAGATCGCAACAGATACTGCAGTCCCTCTCTCAGCCCTTTCGCGACAGGTACCGACAAGTGCAGACTACAAGCAGCATGAAATTGACTCAAACCAAATATCGCCCACCGCCATCGGAGGCCGATACAACCGGGTATTCCTAAAACAATTCCTCCACAACGGTCAAATCCCAGGGATTGAAAAAACCTTCTCAACTCCAAAAGAATGGCACGGTGCCCCCCTTGCGTCTATTCGTCGTGCGTTTGCCGCCCTTGCAAGCCCGCGTTTCTTTATCATCGTCGATGCCGGTACTCACCACATGCTTGAAGAACTACGGCAGCTATACTTCAGTGACGACCGCATTTCATCTGAACAAGTCTCTCTGCGTGATGTGTATCGGCCACAAGTCCAGACAAGTCAGAAGCGCCAGCTAGAAGACCAGACGAATGACGAGTCGGGACGTTACAACAAAAAAGCCAAACATCAGGACACAGGGTTTGCTGGAACAGCTTCCGCAGCAAACCAGTGCCGCGAACATACCGACTGGGTTTTGGGTCCCGAGTCGACAACAAATGACGTCGTCAGGTTGTATGCGCCAGTTTTTTCCTCATACTAGCTGACCTGCTACATTGCTAAGATATTTTCTAATCGCACTGTGTTGTCAATGCCGCGTGCACTTAGAGCAGAGTATGCGTTCTTATCGAGATAAATATATTAAGAGAATTACTCGCTGCTTGTACCTTTTTTAGTCATAATAAGAAATGTACCTTTTGCTGTACAGGCTGAATATCTGCCCTAAGTGCCCTGAACAGAGCGGCGAGCCGCCCACGCCCGAACCGTAGGCTCTAGGTGAGCACCGCCTTAGACATGCTGTTGTATGTTTTTTTTGCTGTCCATAATTTGAAGATATGCCTGTTTACACTAGGACCGAGTGAGCCCTGGAGGTTGGGTATCTGTAATATATTACATAAAATTACAAATACCAATTAAAATACAGCCCATAACATGCTGCCTTACAATGGATACATACTAAGGTTATCAACTCGCGATAACAGCTTATATCTCGGGATCTCCATGCAGCGTCATCCTTCCAACATCTCCCAGAAAGAATTGCCTTACCTTAGTAACCCTCCGCCATGGCCAAAGAAACAAAAGCAAGGACACTCTATGTCCGGGCCGAGAAAAGCCAAGATCACCCCAATGACGGAGATGACAACAAACAACATGCTTTATTCCATCCGCGCCATATCACCCTTGAGACCTTCCGCAACCTGCTATCCCACTACTCTTCAACGGTAGAGCGAGTGCACCGCGGCAAGCTGATGCTAAAGCTGCAATCGAAGACGGGGAAGGGGTCCAAGCGCAAGGCAGAGACAAAGACAGAGGTCGATTCGTCCCAGGAGAAGCACATTCTCGAAGAGACGAATAAATTCCTCCAGCTCGACCGCTGGCGGTATGAAGCTCTGCCGAAGATTATCGCGGAGCGGGCGGGTGAGGGTGGCCAGAAAGGAAGTGTACCGGAAGGGGCGCATTTGCTCAAGGAGGAGTTAATTGATATCATGGACTGGAAGACGTGAGTAACAATTTGCCGTGTTCATACTATGGACTCAGGTTTGTTCTGACATATTTCTAGGAAACATGGAGTCTCCCGTCCCATGCTCATGGGAATGGTGAAAAGCAACCAAGTTGCCACGGTCACCAAGTCTACATCTACGGCTTTTGCCGTCCTCCCAGATGCAGACCCTGTGGTTGCGCCGAACGATGCATTCCCTAAAGCCAGTCTGGATGCTCTTACTGCGCCTATCCGTGGCGTCGGCCCGGCTACTGCATCTTTGATTTTATCTATCGCCACGGTCTTCGGTGATGCTAAGAAACAAGTCCCCTTTTACAGTGACGATGTGTACCTTTGGCTATGTCTGACAGACTTTCCAGAGGGTCAGGGTGCCAAGGAGCAGAAGCCTTCTAAACATAAGAAGCCTAATGGGGAGTTGATTGTCAAGTACAATATGAGCGAGTATCGAGATCTGTGGGATGCTTCGCAGGAGCTGCGGGCACGGCTGAACAATGGCGGAGAGAGGTCTGGGGATGCACCTGTCTCTTTTATCGATATTGAGAGGGCAGCTTATGTGCTTCGCAATATCGCTGTCTCGGATTACTATGCCACTCCAGATCCCGAGGCTGGTTTAAAGACTGTGAAAATTATGGACCCGGTGAATAGTCAGATATCAAAGGAATCAAAGGATGATTCTGGTGAGGCTGGGACTAGGCGGAGTAAGAGGATAAAGCAAGAAGCTATGTGATGAAAGCTGTATATTATTGAGGGTTGTACTTCTCACCTCACATATGCTGCCCTTATTTATGATGTTTGTAAAATAAAAGGACAGAGCGGCATCCAAGAAGACTTCCAGAAAGACATTGCGGTATTGTCCTAGATATCATGACCTTGAACTACCAGACACGACCGAAAAGGAGATTTGATTCACTAGTTGCAGATCTGTATGGAGTATGTGTTTCTGTACTAGATGCCTCGCATGTGATTACTTGATAGTGCAGATGGTTACAAGTACTTAGTATCAAGTACACCCTTATAGCTGACACAAGATCTATTTCAGTCTAGATAAGAATTCAGAACCATCATCTATGCCAAACCAGTCGCATTTTTTTTTTGAACTCATCGCTATGTACAAATTCACGGCCGTCAAGTCTTGATTAAAAGCAGATATCAGATACAGGAGAGACGCATGCATCACAAGAATAAGAATTTGGGGGGGGGGGGGGGGAGATAGAAGAAATTCGTCAGATCATACAATCCATGCATCACGGGCCATCGTCAAGATGGCCGGTTTTTCCAGTGAATTGTGTTTGGACATGACGGATATGGTTGGGGAGAAGTAGAAGTAATGGCAAATGGGGGAGAAATGTGAGGCGGGAGAAGACGCAATGTCTACCGTTGAAGGGAGAGCCGGGGAAAAGAGGAGATGAGAGAGGTCGGAACGGTAATGGCACTGGGTGAACAGTAGCCGTACATATCGAATCCAGGCGCGTGTAATAATATTAGGGTGTTGTACCCCGGGGGCGTTTTCGGTATTTTTTTTTTTCATATAAAAGTGATATCAATTCGCGATATCAGCGCTTGGAGGGATTGGGTTTGCGCTCGGCAGCACGCTTGGCCTTGGCGGCATTTTCCGCAGAAGTAGAATGGAGATAACTAGCGTGCTGATCGTCATTGTCACCGAACGGAACTATAGACGAGATCATGTTGGAGCGACCGCGCATCAAAGGCTGGGACAGAGGTGGGCCAGATTGCGGCGCAGGACTTGCGAGGGAAGGTCCCGGCTTGGCTTCGGCGGTAGCCGACGGGGCAGCGGCGCGCTCGTCGTCCTCGACCTGGATGTGGCGGAACTCCTGCTCCTGCTCATCTGCTTCGGATGGCGGAGGACTGTCGGAGTCAGAGGCTGCCTCGTAGTCGTCTTCGTCATCACTGACCAAGCTGGGGGCTTGGTTAGATTCGATAGCGTGGGGGCTGAGGGTTTGATGATCCAGGCTGTCCGATTCCCGAGACTGCAGTGATTGAGACTGGCCAGCGAGCGAGATGTCCAAAAAGGACTGTGGGCGCGACGGGGTCGCTTGCTCGGTGGGTGGGCTGTGTGCGCGATCGAGGGCCTTTCGGCTCTCCGACTCGCCAGCGTTTTGACCAACAGGCATGCGCATCGGCTGGCGACCGGCGCGAGCACCAAGTGAGGCATGGCTGGTTCCCGCCGACGGTCGAGCGTCGTCGGTTTCCGAGTCATCGTCGAAAAGACCACCAAGATCGATAGGCTTTCGAGATTCCTCCACCAACTTGTCCATGTCTAGACCAGCCCCACGTGATTTCATGAGAGCGGACAGATGAGGAGTTGCAGGAGAAGCTAAAAACTGGGGGTTCGGAGGCTGTCGGATGGGTTCGGAGCGTCGTCGGTAGGTTGGCTCAGCAGTCGAAGGAGGAGTGGCAACGGATGAGGCAGCCGGTTTCCGGGGGGTGATAAAGTCCTTACGTGTATGAAGAGATTTCCAAGGGGTCGTAGCAACGTGGGTAGAGCGGATCAGAGGATGCACGTAGCCCGGGGTGGTGGGATTAGCAGTGGGCTCAGCAGAGCCACCGACCACAATCCCGGCGTCGTCCACCTGAACAGATTGACCACAGGCCATGGCAGCCGCGTCGTGGCTGGCAAAGTTGCGGTTGTGTGCGATGCGACAGTGGTTAATAAATCCTTGAGTGCTGGAGAAGTTATCGCGCCGGCAGTCCAGACAGACCAGCTTGACCAGGACACCATCCGACTTGCGCCGGATGAGCATCGGCCCGGACTTCTCCTTGACGACAGGGTAACCAGTCGACAGTGCAGTATGCTTCGCGCCCGTTGAGCCTCGCTGGGGACGAGACTTACCCGCCAGCATACCCATCTCACCAGGATTTCCGCGCGTCGACCGACCCTCAACCAGCGAGTTCGCTAGCATTCCAGAGTCGACGTCACCGCCGTCAAAGCGAGGGTCAGGAAGCAACCACCGTGCGTAGTGACGAGCGTACGGGCCTTCCGTGACTCCCCACGGCGCAGGCGACATCGGCGCCGGACCATTTCCAGGTGCCAGAACTGACGCGCCCGTTCCCGAGCTCACATCCGGCGACACACCCGCGACACGGGATCCGGGATAAGGGATTTCGCCACAGCGTCGCAGCTGTTCCAGAGCGACTTGACACTTGGCGATTTCCTGGTCGATAAGACGAAGTTCATTGTGCTTGAGCAACACCTCCAAGCTCAGCTGGGCGGTGATGGTTTCCCGAAGTCGGGTCACACTAGGTCCGGCGACGGCGTCCTGCGCCGGCGGACGCGCGGATGCGACCGGTGGGTTTGACGAGGTAGTTGGAGTAGAAGGGGGCAGGACCGATTCGGTTGCGATCACGGTCGGCGTTGGGCGCGTAGCGATCGAATCCGAACAGACTTTCGTCGGGGCGGGCGCATCAGTCGCGTCAGAGTCGGAACGTTTGCGTTTGAGTGGCAGCAGAGTATTGATATCTGTGCAGTTTGGGGCCAGCATTTTGACCTCTTCCACCTTATTCCCTATAGCAGAGGGCCAGGGAAGCAAGCTGAACATGCCATGTGAGTGCATAGAGATAGATGGTTTTGGATTAGGTGGCAGGTGGTCCATGCGTTTTATTACGGAAAAGGAATGGACGTCGACTGCGCGACCGGTTGATTACGGAAGGCGTAAAAATCTATTAATAAGAGAGAATACAAGAAAGATGAATAGGGGAGAGGAAAAGAGAATAGGAGGGAGAAAAAAAAAGGGGAAGAAGAGAGAAAGGGGAATAGAGAAAGAGAATGGGAATAATGGGGGAGTGCCTGGTAAAAAAGGGAGTGGAGTTATGATGTGATACTTGTTCGTCAAGTACAAATTATATGGGCAGATCATGTACCCTCATTGGATCTGTCTCAACTTACACGTCATTATTTATTTATTTATACATTCCATTCTTATTTACCTATTAACACTATTAATGTATTATATATTCTATTATAATATCACCATTTACCTATTCACTATTTACTATTCACCTATTCACCGATACCAAAGAACAATGCCAAGAATATGGGCTGGGCCTTGTGTTTCTGCCTAAGCCAGTTGTATCTACGATCTAACATTTCCCCCAACAAATCATATCTTATATCTCGAAAACTTGCAGGGAGGCGAACCGGGTATAAACAGGTTCTGCGCCTCGCATGTGGAAAACACACAAAAGTACACGTACTCCCGTACTCCCCCCGTATATAGGTCAGATGTGGCTGAGAAAGCAAATGGAAAGGTGTGGAACATCATCGAACTCGGGACAAGGGATTAATTCTTCCCCAGGTTCGTGAGGGACTCGTAGCCACTATATATTACCCCTATTTATAGTGTATTTCTATACTCTAGCTAATTTATGGAGTATGATTTCTCAGACTGTGGAAATTTCTCTCGGGCCCGTCAACTTGGGAACTCCGAGCCCGCTGATCACAGTAACCCTAACTCTTCCCCGTCTTTTCGATATCCACATCCTTCGCTCTATTTGCCGATATATATTGTATGCTTGTTCCTCTCATCCCTGACATGGTGGGGTCCAATCCTATACGCGTAACCCAGTCCACAGGGTACGATGTTGTACGGAGTACTCCGTAGTGTGTACAAACACGTACAATATATGCTAGGGGTTACCAAATTCCTCCACGTTTCCCACTGCACTATGCACAGATGATAAATTCGGCTGTACATGTGGTAATCCATATGCCTATGTAGCATATACTGTCTACATGTATATGTGGTGTAGGTGTAAATCCCTTCAAGGAGACCGTTATCTCCCAAAGTTTAGCATTCCAATAAAAAATTATATCCCCTGCTTCTGCTAAGCCCAAAGCATATTGCTTATCAACTGTCTCCTTAGAAGCTGATAACTCCAATGCGCACCCTCCCTTCCAACACTCGCTGCCCTCCCAACACCAACACCAACACCGCTTGGCGCCCTACACACTACAATATATACCAATAACAACCTAATCGATCCCTAACCAATGAACAAACCCAAAATAAATATAATGCCTAAAATACTTTATCAAGCTACAATATAAACTTAGCTAGGTGGCTTGAATATAAACAAATATCAACCTAGTCTAGTCTGGTAGTGGTTTCTTGAGTAGTAAGATTGTGTTTAATGCGGCTATTACTCGGCGATTTGGCGGTAATTATTTATATTGATGTGAGGCGGTCGAGGGATAGATAAGAAGGTTCCTATTTTTGTTGGTGAATGGGTTATTGACCTCGAGGGTGGTAATAACAATCAATGTGCTTGCGCTTCAAGGGGATTGCAAAGGGTCGGTTTGGTAGTAGTTTACTTAGGGGGTAGCCTCTGGACGACAAAATGGATTATTGGAATTTTTGAGTTTATCCAGGGATATATATCTTGATATGAGGTTGTGAGAATTGCCCGCGAGATGAGGGAGCGTATGTATAGATCGATGACGCAAGAGATTCAATTCAAGTTCAATGGGTCATTCTTTTTCTTCTCGTCAAACAAGCTCAATCCCCAAAAACGCCAATTAATATAAACAAAAAAGAAAGACGCTCGACTCGAGCATGTGAACGTAAAAGGCATTCTGGCCTCATAAGCATAAAGCAGACCAACATACGCCAAACTAGTACATAAAACAGACACAGCTGTCATAATAAACAGTGAACGAACGAGAACAGGCCACAAGAGAATGGGCCAACGTAATCAATGGTATAATATTCAGATGGCCGAACGGGAGAGATCGAACCCCCGATCCAAAATCGCCAACAAAAAAAACAATCGTATCCGTCCAGACTCATCCTAGTTCATCTGCCCATCCCGAATGCGCAAGATGAAGTTAACAACCACAGCAGCGAGGAGAGCAATGGCGAGGATTGTGGGGCCGAATCGATCATCGATACCACTCTGCCCGCGCCGACGGATACTTTGCGCCCGCCAGTGGAACGTCACTAGTGCGTAGATCATCGCGCCCATCGCAATAACGGTGAAGAGGGCTGCGGAGATGCGACCGATGCGATCTCCGAAGTTGAGGAGACCGACGGCGAGACCGCCCAGGATGACGGTGAAGTTCAGCCATGAGAGGAAGGTGCGCTCGTTTGCGAAGAAGACTTTGGGCTCGACTCGGGTTGGGAGGGCAATTCGCTTGCCTGGTGAATGTTAGCTGGGCTCGGGGTGAGGACTGGGGGATTGTGGTGGGGGGTTGGAATGGACGGGGAGTGCGATCGTTCTGTTTCTGGTTGTGGATGTTATCGCGGTGTGAGTCGACGTAATCGCATGTCAACCAACACTGCAATGACACCCATCGCCTAGGAGAAGCAGAATGATGGCACGCTAATCAACACGGTGGTGACGAGAGGGGATCCAGGTAGAATTGTCTCTTGTGCTGAGCTGTTATGCTGCTGAGATTGGAGGTGTTGTCGGACTTACCCGGAGCGGTTTGGAGGAGAGGTTGGCTGGACATTGTCTATGAAGAGGTGACGTTGGAATTGAGGATGTTGGAGATAGAGATCAGAAGAAAGAAGAAAATCCCACAAGGAAGAAAGGGAAAGCAAAATAAAGCGGGCAAAGTCGAGAGCTTCTTGTTCCGTCCTAGGACTAGCGGATACAGCTTCGCACGTGCGTCCACGATTTGATGAGAGGATCAGGTGACTAAGTATATGAAAATAGCGCTTGATCTTAGTCTACGGAGTACTCCGTACATTATATATTCATAATATATAAAGCTTGAATTTCTACCGAGTAAATCTCTAAAATTTCCTGTTCGAAATTACCTGATACTTGCTCAAAAGGCATGATGGAAAAACTCTACACAATATCTCTCTTCCCTCTCGTTATATGGCACAATGCCCCGAGAAATAGAGCACGCGACCAAATAATTGCTATCATATATTATCCGAATATCCTCCGATTAATAAACCGGACAGATAGAATGTAATACTCAATACCTACATTTATCCCCAGACCCTTCTATCTCATAACTTATCTTTTCCCGATATCGCCCCGAGAAAAATGGGTCGGAATCGAGGCTGTAAATAATTCCGAGACGTTCACAAGGCCCGAGCACTAAAGGTCTAGAATAACTAGGCCCACTTTTACTTTTCGTATGAAGCTGCCTGTCTACGGGAAATATAAGATTTGGGTTTCCGTGCTGTCTAGGGCATATCTAGTCGGAGCAATCGTGCCAAGCACTACGATATTGAGGTTATATGTATAATCTTTGAATTAAATATACTACTTCTACGCTATAGATGTCTTCTTATATCTTCCCTAACTATCTCGGGGGCTGAGAAATTCACAAGGTACCTAAGTATCTTTTATATGGGCAAGTCATACAAAAGATGAATTTGAATCTACTGGACCGCACCAACACAGGGTGTGTTGGGCGCTTGTCACGATTACAAGGTAGAAGACACTCAAACAAAGAAAGAGAGAAATGTAAGATGAATCGACCATATAAACCCATAAGCTCTTTTTAAATACTCAAACTAACCAAGAGCCTCATACAGTAGTTAATCGCTAGTCTGAATTCGGTTATGGAAAGAGACTACCATCCCGCATAGCTGGTGCAGTAGAGGCTGTGAGACATCTGTTATCCCTGGCTATACATAGAAAAGTCAGCACATTTCAAGCATTTCCCCACGTTTTCTTATGCCGTCTACTTATACAAAACCGAGAAGGAAAATATCTGTACAAAGGCATATAAAAAAGAATATCTGAGAACCTAAAAAGACATGTGCATAGACTATCAAAAAGACCCAAGGCCGCATAAGCGGCCTACTCTTGTCTTAATCTAATTGCCCCTCATATTCAACAGCTTATACTCTTAGTTTAGGCTATGCTTGAATTATATTTGCTTATTTCAACTTCTACTCCAACCGGCTCTTCTACAAGTAAACTTTCCCGCCCCCAATCCAAGCCACTAACTCCAATGGTGTGAAGCCCACTTCCCCAGGCTCTAATCACATCAAACATTAATCTCACACCGTATCAAAATAAGAACCCTCGATAACTTACACCATGTCCCAATTAGCCTCATTACCAACCGATCTTCTCTTAATCGCCGAATCCCTCCCTAACCAACAGGACCTTAGCGCATTCGTCCAAACGATACAAAGAACATACATAGTCCTCCAACTCTACCTATACAAAAATAACATCAAGTACCATGGCAGTAGCGCCCTCCTCTGGGCCGCCGAACACGGTGACACAACCCTTACCAAAAAGATGCTCGACGCAGGTACCAGCATACGCGCCTTCGACCCCTTCTCAGCCAACCCCATCCCGCTCCCCCATCGAGTTGACAACCCCCTCTCCCTCGCATCTCGCGGCCAACGCATAGAAACGCTCACCTGTCTACTCGCCGAGACAAGGCCGGGCCAAAAATGGGTCCCGGGCCAGCTGCGCGCAACACTACAAGAAGGCGCAATTCCAGCGCGAAGTGTCGAGGCTGTCAAGCTGTTACTTCGCTATAATGTACCCATCGCCCCCACGGAGTACATAATAGGCTTTCAGTCCGCGATTGGTGCAGCTGTTACCGCAAGCTGGGCTGATATTTTACCTTTCTTGCTGGAGGGTGGTGCTTGTATGGACGAAAATGAGATACCTACTGCGCTTGAGAATGCGGTTCGTATGAAGCAGCCCGAGGTTGTGGAGATATTGCTTGGGGCTGGGGTGCGACTTGAGGATGATGAGATGATATGTACTGTTGTGTTGCAGGGTAGTTTGAGAATGTTGGAGGCGTTTGTTGAGGCCGGATTTGAGGTTGAGAGGTGTTGGCAGCGGGCGCTGTTTGTGGCTGTTGTGCATGGAAAGACTGAGATGGTGGCGTGGTTGATTGAGAAGGGATCGAACCCGCATTTAAGGACTGATATGTTAATGATAAATAGGGACAATCTGCGGTATAGTACTATTGGGTTTGCGGTTCACTTCGAGGGAGAGACAGGTTATGTAACCCGGATATGAGGGCCTCAAGGTCAAGAATGCGCTTTTTGATCCTGTTCTGGCGGTGGAGGGGATGGATGTGCTGCTGTTTAGGCCCTCCAGATGTGCGGGCTGACTCACCTCGTGAGCTTGTTCCTATTTATTGCGCCTAATCTCCTTTGCTGTAAAGTAATTCTTCAAATATAAAACAGGAGAGCTAACTAGAATATCGACAACCCTATGTCATAGTCGCCTTTCCAGCCCTAAAATCCCAATCCTCGCGAATCAAATCTGCAGCCTTCTCTGCAACAGCGTAAACACTACTAACAATATTCCCAGAAACATTATTCGGGAACACTGATGCATCCGCAACACGCAGTCCCTCAACACCCTTCACCCTCAATCTGCTGTCCAACGCATCGCCCATAGCAACAGACCCGCTGATATGATACTCACCCGCAACGAGGTCGTGCACTGCTTCTCGGGCTGTGTCCATGTCCTGCAAGTTGACACTGGGCTCGGGGTACCTGCGCTTCAGGATTGATGACTCCAGGTGCTTGGATTCCGCGACTTTATCACCCCAGCGTAGGAACGCCGCCAGGAGGGAGACGTCGGCTGGGTGGCCACCGTAATTGGGGTTGATGATAGGGGGCTTTGTTGGGTCTGGATGTGTTAGTATATGAGGTGATTGGCTAGAGAAGTGACTTGTTTGGTTGTAACTTACCTGCACTCTCAATATGGATCGACCCTCTAGCCACGGGGTACTGTATACAAAGCGCGAGTGTCAAACCAGCCGGCTGATCAGCCGAACGCTGTTCAATGATCTTGCCCTGATGATCTAGGGAATGCGGGTCCATGGAAGCTGTCACGGTAACAATCTGCATATTGGCAGAGTGCTCACTCTCAAGGTGCGCGATAGTCTGCTCTAGCTGTTTCGCGTGGAACGCGCTGGTCGGCTTGATATCACGGATGCTCTGGATGATATCTGCAAGCTCTGTCTCGGAGAGTATTTTCTTTGCCGGGAAGAAGCCCTGCATACTACAGACGGAGCTGAGTGGCCCACCGCTGGTTTCGGCATACTGCTTGCCAGCAGCTTCCATTGCCTCGGGTACTTGGGACAGGGTGTCTAGTGTAACAACGCCAGGCTGGACATCCAACACGCTGAGGGTGATAGCATGGTCTAGGACGTTTGCGCCAACACCGCTGTTGGCGACCTTACACTCGACGCCGGCGGCTTTGAGGATCTCCGGGTCGCCGATTCCCGATAGCTCGAGGATCTGGGGGGACTTGATTGTCCCGCCGCTGACGATTACCTCGCGCCGTGCGGAGACTTGATACTCGACTCCGTCGTGTGTGAGGCTTACGCCGGTAGCTTTGTTACCATCTAGCACGACGCGATTAACGAGGGCCTCGCAGAGGACTTTGAGATTTGGACGAGTCTCGCGGTTCGCTTCATAGTATCCTCGTGCGGAGTAGCTGCGCTTGCCCTTATTCGGGCCGGTACGAATGACTGCGCCGAGGGTGTGGTAGAAGCCGATGTGGTCACCGCTCCATGGGTCGACGGGCTTGCTTGTGATGCCAGTAACTTCCTCACAGGCTTTGATGATCTCGTTCTCCACTGGTGGGATTGTATCATTGAAGCCGGTGCGGACGGGCCCGCTCGTGCCGTGAAACTCGCCTACGAATGGCATAGTGGAGCGATCGGTGATGGATTCGTCGATTGGCTCGAGTGTCTGTTCATTGTGTCAGCTTTTTGACCGGAAATAAACATGATTTGAAGATGCAAATACTGAGATCGTACCTGGTGCTTTCGCATATATTGCTGCATATGTTTTCCAGACCACCCATCGTCCTCTACGATCTCCGCCCAGTCGTCATAGTCCTGCGTCGATCCTCGCACGTACATCATATAATTGATGCCGCTGGATCCACCGAGGAGCTTTCCCCGCGGGATATGGTGAGACATGCCACGGTTGCCTTCCTATATCCCCACGAAAGTAGTTAGTAATTAATAGCATGTCGATGCAATGGAATACAGAATCAACCTACCTGTGGCGTCGTATACATGCACCAATCATAGTCGGGATTCTCGAACATCTGCGTGAACGCTGCAGGAGTATCAACCAATGGATCTCCAATGCGATACTTGCCCGCCTCAATAACGCCGACGGTTACATCGGGATTCTCGCTGAGGCGCGCTGCAAGAGCGAGTCCTGCAGTTCCACCGCCGCAAATGACATAGTCAAATAGCGTACGGGTGAATTCCTCGACGGTGCAGGTTGGATTTTCGGTCATCATATGAATGATTTAGACTTGTTGAATGAGTAGGCCCTGGGGAGATCTGCTTAAATATGTACGAGAGGGGTAAGGAATGCCAAATTCGGGTTGGATCAACAGCGGGGGGTGAAGGTTTTTAGTTATATATGTAAAAGAGACTAGTAACCAAGACTCAAATATAGATACCAAAAGGATACTCTCTAAGACGTCCGTGTTGTGAGGCTTAGACTGGACCTCGGGGAAAAGGTAAAAGATTGCGGGGAAGAGCCCTATATATTGTACCGATATTGCGCCTATATTCTACAATTATTCAGGAATGCCATACTCTGAATACAAATTTGATATTTCTTCACTAAATTCCAAAGTTCATCCCTAAACCCCCTAAATAGCTCCTTTTTCTAGCGTGGCAGCTGAAACGCTCACTATACCCCTCCGGTACAAGACTCCATCACATGGATGTGTACTAGTGAAGCATTCAAACCGGACTTAAGCCGAATACTTAAACTACTATTTTACTCCAATTGACTGAATTGGCCATGAATTGGCCACGTAATATCCGTAGGATCCACCCCAGCTGAGAAGATGAATGGTTAGGGAGTACAATTGCCAAGTTTTATTGTCAGCCGCATAAGACAGCTACGCGACGGCCCACTAATGTCCGCTGGAGCCAATGTTCGCCGTGTAAAACTTGTAGGATTATCGTGGCCCGCAATATTGCTGATCGTCCCTGCCACTGAAGCCTTTAGGGTTTTGAATTGCGTCGATCCCGCAAAAATAGAACATCTCACTGGCCGGGAGAAATGCTTTTATAGATGTGACAGGTCGCCGATAAACCGCCCCTTTACCGTTGGTGGATGCCGTTGGTGCTACAGATGACGGTGGAGGAATTTTCGAACGTGTCATGCTGTTCGTGGCTGAATTAATTACTTCGTAATCTGGACCTCGTCTGATTACGGAACCAGCCGCATGGTCTAGTCGTGCAAGTGCAAGTGGGCATACAACATAGAGAACCCGCTACTCAGAGACCATCTCATCCAGGTGAGCTTGGCACTTGACAAGGATGTACGCTTGTTGATGTACACGTTCGTTCGCGGTAATTCTCAATCCCGACCAGTCGAGAAGAAAGGAATCATATGCTCGTGTAAGTCGCTTCAAAAAATGCTATATATACAATTTATTAGTCCCGCGGGTCATGCGACTATGTTCCAAATTTCCGGATGACCCAGTCATCACTCCAATGCTCAAAGTCCCATCTTCCGTTGCACCCAAGCAAGAGCACTCTCCCACCTCGGATCTCCAGACCTCAAAGCCTCAAACAACTCCGAAGCGAGTGCTGTACCCGAATCCCGCGCCCACCACCGCTGCTGATCAAGCTCCTTCAATAACACCCCCCAATACATCAGAATGAGCAACGAAAACGGCTGCCGACATCGGAGGCTATCAACAAAGTCCTTTTCAACACGCGCAAGCCAAGAAAGTACCGGCGCCGGATCTGCCGAGCGCGCAAATTTAGCATAACAATGCCTCAAATTCGCAATAACATCTTTATTAATGCGATGCTGTTCCGCGTAAATCCCAATCATAACCTGATCATTCAACAACGCCAGATGCGTCAGCGCAGCCTCCGTGTCTGGATCAAGCTCGGTAGGCGTGTTCTTCCAAAACTCGCCCCGCGAGAATAATTCCAGCTTGATCCATGACTTGCTGACTTGCATGATCTTCTTCACGCCCTGAAGCAACTCGAACAATATCACGATGTTTTCTGTGATACTGGCGCATTCATCTCTCGTGACGATTAGTCTGGGTGAGGCGATACTGATCGCGATCATGACGATCGAGTGCGCGAATACCGCGTCGCAATTTTGCGGCGTGATATTATCGATCGCGTGGCGGAATGGCGTCAGGCTGCGGTTGTAGTATTGCAGTCCTGTTTCGTAGTACTGGGGTGCTAGTTCTGACGACTCGCATGTTGTTGCGATGTGCATTGAGGCTAGCGCCAAGATCCCGCTCATTAGGTAGTCATGTTTAAAAGCGAGTGTTGGGATGGTTATTTGCCATATTTCTGTTTCTGTTTCGCTGATGCAGAGACTTTTATATGTGTCTGTTGCAAACTTGTGCATTAATTCGAGGTTGTCGATGCCGAATGAGTTTGTTTGGGTTGGTGTCGGGCCGGGGATTGTTGCACCGGCTGAACCGGATATCGCTGTTTTAGGTGAGCCATAGCCACCCAGGGGTCGGGGTACATCGGATGTCGAGCTGGGTGGGGTAAGATGGGTTGTAGTGCGACGAGCGGCGGCGACTTTCAAGTATGTGCATTTTAACTCGCGGGTTGTGCAGTTTGAGCATGGTGGACCCTGCTCGTCACATTTGACCCGCCTGCTTCTGCATTGATCGCATCCGTTGCGGGATTTTGTATGCGCACGGAGAGGGGGCATGTTCAAAGCTATTTTCACATGCTGAGCCCAACCATGAAGATGACTGTGTATGAAATTATCCGAGATATTGACATATTCCCCCGTATCATGTGACTTGGGTCTAGAACAAGTTTGGAAGTAAATGGGTCGAGTTGGCAGTTTAGTATTTATATTTCCTTAGATTTATGTGATCTGTCTACATTCTGAATATTGGGAAGAAATGTCATTGCATTATTATATGCACAGTGCATGTGCTGGTACGGAGCAGACAACTTTAAAATATATATATCCAAAGGGCTAGACGTCATTGCCAAGATGCTATTATTATTAGAAGTAAACGTGTAATCAACATGTACATCCCCACCCAGATGATTCGACTGGAAATTCGACAAGTAAACCGCACTTAAGACACTTAGATCAGACCCGCAGCAACAACAAGACCAGCAGCAACAACACCAACAATACCACCAGACATTTTCTGAACAGCGCCATTGTAAGCAGGAGTAGTAGAAGGAGACCCGGTAGCAGAGGAGCTACTCCAGGAGCCAGTCATAGACTTAGAAGGAGTAGGCATAGTCATGTTCTTCTTGCCACCCATACCCATAGCAGCCATACCAATCGGAGTACCCATGGCAGTCTTCTTTCCAATCTATCAATACAAGCAACATCAGCCCTGCGAAAAAGGGGTCGAGGAAGCACCCAACAAAAAAAATTCAAATGCAAAGGTAATCTAATTTACCTCGACGATAGCAGGGCCAGCAACAATGTTGTCATCGGTCGCCTGCTTGTTGCCCTTGGTCAGGACGACGTAGCTCTGTCCAGCAACGCCCTTGGGAACAGTGACGGTGAACTTTCCATCACCCATGGACTCGAGAGGAGCCCAGACTGGTCCGGTGACGGTGATGAAAGCGGCGTGGACGTCGCTGGTGCTTGTGTCGAAGCCGCTGCCGGCCATCAGGTGCACCTTCGAGCCTGTCATGACGGCGTCCATCGAGCTCATCATGAGCGAAGGGAAGGCCTTGACGGGCAGGGCGCCGTTACTGGAGGGGCATGAGGCGATGAAGGGGGAGGCGACGGTGTAAACCTCGTTGAAGCTGAGGGGGTTGTCGAAGGCCTGGGCGAAGGGGACTTCGCCGACCGCGGCGCGCAGGTATGCGCTGTGTCGGGCCTCTGTGGTGAGGATGCTGCCGGCGGCTGTCAGGTAGGTGTCGCTCATGATGGAGGCTGCGGCTCCGAGGTAAGCGCTGACTCCGACACCTGGAGAAGGTATTAGTGGTGGTTGTTGGTATGATTGGATGTCTTCTTACCCTCAAGAACGCTGGCAAGGGCCAGGAAGCCGCTGACGTCGGTGGATGGGAAGTTGTAGGTGCAGGCGGCGACGGGAGAGGCACCGGCAGCTAGCAAATGTCAACATATTGATCAGTTTACGGGTTGAATGACACATACCCTTGAGCGCAGAGGTCAAGAAATCCACGTGCTCCTTCTCATCCGAGGCAACCTCCTTCAGGTTGGCATAGAAAGGATCCTTCATGCCAGCCTTGACAAAGTCTTCCTGGGTGTAGTTCTTGAGGCCCTCGGCGTAGAAAGAGGCCTCGAGATGCTCGAGGGTAAGAGCATAGTTGAGGATGTCGGCTAAAGAAGAATATTAGAGGACAAGCAGCCCATTAGTTGGGAAGTTACATACCATCGCTGATAGCACGCTTCGAGACAGGGCCGGCGTTGGCAAGACCAATAGCAGCACCGGTGAGAGCAATATTAGTGAACCTCATTGTGTGATAGTAGATCGTTGAAGCTTTGATAGTGTCTTAAATCGGAAGTCTGGCTGTAAATGAGTGATAACAATCTACTTTCCAGGTAGAGGGGCATGTCTTTTATAGCTGCTTCGCCGGCAATTTGGGGATCCGACGCATGCACCCTTGTTTTGGGTCGGATATTAGAATTGCCTGGCCAAGCAGAAACTAGTCAATTATTTTCCTTGTTTTGTAGGTTTCCTATCTGACATGGTTGACATCTCAGGCGCAAGAGTAAGATCGGCGGTAGGATTCCTAGATCGAGAGATAAAGGGTTGACTTGAGATTCGGATATATGTCAATAATAACTCCGACAGGGACAAGAGAAAGATCCAAGCTCCACGAGATATCATCTGCAGGAACCACTGTGGATCGAATCCGGGGTACTTAGAGAACTGACCCCTGGTCGATCATGCCTAAAGGAGAATATAAAGCTAGAGCTTCGCGTTATAATTAAGCTTATTGAGTTCAAAGCCTTTTAGCTGCATGAAATGGCGAGAGCGAGAGCGAGATCGCGAGGGAGACAAAGGCTGGGGGGTAGCGAGGCCAGAAGCGAAAGCGAATACGAGACCGATGACGATAGCGAGACCGGTGTGAGGGCTCAACTCGAGGAACTATGTTGTACTTCTTTAACAAAACAGGTCTTACTTGAAATCCTCTTATTTTACCAAATTTCAGATATCTCTTTTTCTTTTGGAGTTCTCTGGTGCCTGTTTGACATCAGGGTATACCTCCACTAATACTAATGGTGAGTGTGGTCCTAATTTCTCAGTCAACATGACATGTCCGGAGTCCTCGTTCGGATATTGTTGCTCTGTAAGTGCAAGATGCATTGATACTTGAATTCCATTGATGTTGCTTGTTCTTCTTCATGCGCTTCTCTTTCCTGAATAATTCAATCAAATCTCACCAGGATGGGGGAATCCAGTAATCCTCCCAGGCACCATGATCTGCATCCTGGAACATATTGATCTCTCGCTCAACGCCATCATCGCCCACTGTCCACACGCCACTTTCTATCAATTCGGTCCATCGATCAAATAGCCTCTCCAATCTCTGCGCCCGGTGCTCTCCGCCAAACGGGTAATAAAGGCCATGCTGGAAAAGCTGCGTGAATGAGCCAGATGGCACTAGAGTTCCATCACTCCGCCTAGCTCCACCCTCGTCCGCAAGATTCGGTCGTAGTGCGAATGGGAGTAGAAGGCGGAACCCATTTTCTTCAGAATCGTATTCGAATCGATTGACCGTTGCACTATATAATCATATGGGAACAGGATCACCTTCGTTAAATGGCACATCATTTCTCGATCCAAAGAACAAACGATGAATTTCTTCGTTGAAACTGATCGTGTGGCTATCATCCGCAGATGCAAAGAGTAGGAATGGCGGCACATCCCTGCCCTGACCTTCCGCGTTAAACATCTGACGCGCCGTGAAGGCTTCCTTGTCGTGTGGGACCTCTAGGCCGGGCGCGATTAGCTTAAAACGCGGGGACCTCACCTGGGTCAAAAGAGAGCAAATAAAGCACTCCTTTGGCACTAAAGCCGAATCAAGCTCTGCATTGGTAAAAAATGGTGCATCCCGGGATATTGGCAAAAGAGACTGCATACATGATTCGATCGCGTCTGTGTAGCGGTCCATCGCACCAACCGTACCATCAATCTGAGCAGCGCAGTATGGGTGCCAACACCATAATCCAATTTGATGTCGCGAATTCGCTTCTTCATCGGACAAGTCTCTCTCGTTCCGTGGATCAGCTGTAATTTTTCCCATTCGGAGCATATGGATCCATTGGGTAAGAATCGTCTCTAGAGGAAACCACATATCCCAGTGTTCAGCAACAGGCTCGATACTTCCTGAATTCTCGATGGTCAATGGGAATGAGGCACGATGGTTCAGCTGGTCATAGAGAACACCAAGACAGTGGGAGCCTAGATCGGGAGTTGTGTCATGAATGATTATAAACCGCTCTTTATCCTCGAAATCGTTATCTTCGAGGGGGAAAGACTCGTCGACAAGTTCCATTCGAAGCCTACTCACCCAGTAAAAGAATCCCGGCGTCGGATCATAGATTGAATCAATAAATGAGTTTAATGATGGGCCAAGCCGAGCACGAATGGTGTCAATATTCTCGTTCGGCTGGTTGAAGAACCATGACTCGCTGGCTAGGGCGTCGAGATCGGGCGTATTTTTTCCATTGCGGGTCATATAGGCATATGCGACCAGGTAATTGTGCAATCTGGCGCAGCGTTGAAAATCGAGTGTATCTTCATCGCGAGCTGGATTCTGGTCTGAAACGAGAGCATCTTCAATGTCAAGAACTGTTCTGGCGTGGTGTTCATGATGAGGGTGGGCAAGAAAACAGTCTGTAACAGTGGAGTACGGATGTCTGGTTTTATAATTACGCATACACATAAGCAGTTAGACCGGTGTCTTCAAATGCCCGAAATATGGTATGGTATTGTAAGTACGGTATATCAATACTAGCACCACTCCTGTACTGCAGAGGTTGGCCTTCTAAGCTCTAGCACTTGGGCATATTCCACGCATTACTCTCTAGATATGCTTCCATATATGTACTTCAATTCTCTCTCTAGTTGACCTAGAGAATTCCCACCTCGATACCGTCTAACAAACGCCGGCCAGGTTCTCTTTCTCACCAGCAATTCATCTTGATTGAACAAGTACTACTGTAGAAGTATGGGATTGACATACAACATACTCACTGTCTGAAGCCTCAGTGCTGTCGCTCCAATAATGATTCTGTCAGGTATCTCTGCTCAGTTCATCAAATTTAGTTTATACAGTAGGGTGAGAAATGACAGGTTAATAGGGGTGATCCAGAATTCGGATATCAATTTTTTTGACCAAGTTGTACACGGTAACTTGTCTTTATTAACAGTTTACATAGAATATGCAGGCACCTGCGGTCTTACTAGATTAGATGTTGTTGAGATCTCCTACCAGTGACCTTTCTCCATAGTATTAGGCTCTTCCATAGTCTCTCCTCTTGCTTTCCTCCCTCCTTCATAGTTTCAGACTCACCCCAATACACACATTGTGCTTTCATAATATAATCTACTAGATCATAGATTCTAACATATATTTTGTAGGAGCTTTTGACAGAAGGGCGGCGAGGGGAGTTATATCGGCGGGAGATCGACCTAATTAGGAAAGTGGACCTGGGATTTATAGTAGGGGTGGTGTATGTTAATGCCCTAGAAATAAGTGGAATCTTGGGGCCAAATTCTTGTAGATCAGGCTCTAGAAAAGAAGGTGTTGAATACCGCACACGACTCGTCGGTCAAATTCTGCCAATAATGCTGGCGCGGGTTTCTCAAAAGCTCTATTGGCTTCATTTTTGCCCATGTCGTACCCTTGATTTGTCTGGCTCTTGCCTTGATGCAGATAGTGCGCTCCTATTTAAGAATGTATGAGAGCTAAAAACCCGCGTACTTTCCGGTCTCCCGAGGCGAGTCTTTTAACGTGGCAAATGAAGTATGTGCTGTTGCCTATACATACTGGCTCCAACATTTTGATATAGTCTCTACCTAAACCGGTCTGTTCTAATCTTCCCTCCAGCCGTATTTGCAGGAATCCCTAGAGTCATTGGTGTTACAAGTGGATCAAGCATCCCGTTTATAACCTATTGCAGAATATGGATAACATTCCCATCATCTCGAAAAGTGTTATGTCGCCTGACTACCCCAAAACATTTTATAAGATATGATCTACGATACACAGCCCGAATACTTCAATAATAAAAGCGTGTGGCTTTTCCACACTGTAAACCTTGTGCTTTGAAGTATATAAGTCTTGTAGCAGCCGTAACCGAAAGATTTTGGGGCTGAAAAGTCTGCGTCTTTGATGAACCAGCTATGAACCATGGCCAATACTCATTCGGGGATGTCTGTCCCACTGATCTTTTTACTTCTCACTCTTTTATCTTTTACCACAAAAGTTATTGGCTCTCCGTTCTCAATACCTTCGCCTCGGGGGAATGCCTCCCACCCAGTCCAATTATGTTCATTAATACCCCTTCCACGTACTAGGGTGTGGAAGAGAGATGATAAGACAATTGAACTGAGAATCCTACCTCTTGGGGCCTCAATTACCTGGGGCACAAACTCTAAGAGTGGCAATGGCTATCGCAAGTACCTCCGTGACCAGCTTTGGGTTGATGGGTGGTCGGTTGATATGGTGGGCACCAAGAATCATGGTAACATGCAAGACAATGTTAGTCAATCAATATATTTGGATCCACGAATAAGGCTAATCTATCATACTTTCATAGGCCGTTGAAGCCCATCCCGGGGATGTGATCACTCAGATTCAAACCGCTGCCCAAAAGTCTCTCCCTTATAGACCAAACGTGGTCCTCATCAACGCCGGAGCAAATGATTGCAAACTTCGGCTTGACATCCCTAAGGCCGGTGCACGCATGCGCGCCATGATTGAAGACATCGTGCACTATGATGGTATGGAGAAGACCACCATCATCTTGTCAACTCTCATCCCATCTTCCGATCCTCAGACTGCTGTCAGTATTCCTACAGTCAATGCTCAATACCGTGAGCTGGTGACCACAATGCGAAAGGAGGGCATGTCAATCGTGTTGGCAGAGATGAACCCGCCCTCGTCCGTTGTTGCACACAACTTGCTTTCATGGCCCCGTGATTATACCACGAATGGCAAAGCCGATATCACACATCCAAACGATTGCGGCTACAGAAAGATGGCCAGAGTCTGGTACGATGCCATAGGTGATGCATACGACGAGAATCTTATTGTAAAGGCTGGCGTGATGGCAGCCTCGGAATCCTGTGAGGATGGGAGTTGTAATAGGGTAGGAGTATTGTATGCCAGAAAGAATTAGCGCACGATCTCTAATATTCAAACTATGGAATCGGAGGGAATAATTTATGGTATATTGATGTGATACACGGATAATTCACGGGGCTCTGGATCAGGGCGATTGACGGAGAGTGCGTTCTACAATGGCCTGCATATACAGGACACGCTAGTGCACAGTCTTAATTGATTCTGGGCTGTTTGCGTTAGATCCGACGGCATACCTAATGCATATCCATGATTCAGCTTTCCTGCTTCTCAACAAAATAATAAACCATGGCGTGTACGCTGGTGGTCTCAATATTGTACTCCTGGCGTCCCGAAAAGCGCATATCTCTAGACCAACCCATCTTGGTATGGGTGATCTTGTTGTGAATCGAACCACATGCAATTATGCTAGGATTTATGAAGGGATTCAAGACTTCGGTTCACATGGCTGACTGGATCTCTTCGGCGTTGACTAGAGAAGATCGAAGAGGATTGAAATTTCAATTCGGAAGACCATGAGTTTTACTGAGCAGAGAAACGTGAAATCTGCGTCAACATCTCACGAAGCCTCTAGAACAATACAACTATACTTTTGATTGCGCCTGTTTTGACTCCATGAACTTAGCACCACTGCGTACTTCCTCACCCCAAAAGAATGATTTTCTCAGAATTACCAAAATGGTTTTGGGCGTATGCACTCTCTCATCTGGCCACCAAACGAAATATTTACTAACTTGAACAGTATATTGTTGTTCCTGACGGTCGTTTCATTTTCACTCCAATTTCTATGCATCTGGACTAAGCAGAGCATCTGAGAGCATCTCTCTACGATTTCCACTCTATTCCCTCTATAGAACTAATCTTTTGCTTCTTCTCTTAGATTTGTACTAGTTCTCCGGTACAGCGATTATAGGATCTCCCTAATCGCTGGATATACTAGCCTTCTTCTAGTCTCGATCATCCCACTAGTCATCTACGCATCGACGAGCTGGGTTGGATTATCGTATCTGCCTGTTATTCCGTACTGCATTACTTTCTGCTTTAAAAGATCGTCACAATTCTCGGCATTCTAGCTATCTGCTGTCAAGCTCGTGAAATTCGTGCAGTGCCTTTTCCTAATTCGTTGAGTTTGCAAAGCTTGTGTATTCAAGCAGGCAGTCGTCTTTACATTTCTCACGGGGGCATGGATATGGAGCCTTCCATACCCGTATGATGAGCCAAGGGGACATATTGGAACTGGAAAGTATTTTGGTTCTGGTATGGTGACTTACGTTGGGTTATCATAGATAACTTGATTTTCGCCCTGGGCCAGGCGGTGCTCTTGGTAATGGCCATGCGCCACTCATGCGCCGCTCAGGTTGTACAGCGTGGAAGCGAAACAGAGCCGCTATCAGGGTGACACGGGGCAAAAAGTGAGCGTCGAGTCTCGCCAGCCCTCGCTTATATTTGCACAAGAGTATCAGCCACTGGAATGCTGATAAGGACATGCAGTGGAACTAAACCCAATGAAATCGGGCATGAATCTGGCTGCATCCTCGTTTTCTTCCACCCAAAGAATGGGAATACAATTTTTCACCAGTTGCAAGGGTCAATCATACGATGAGATATTAAGCGACTGGTGATAAAAGGATGTACCGTACTTTTAATATAGTAGAGACGGAAACCATTCCAAAAAAGGACATAAACCGTTGAGATCAGGTGATATCATGTGATATCATGTGACCATCGGCTTCCCGCTCCAACCAATCATCTCGTATTCGCCCTCAGAATGTCTAGGCCCTCGATATGTATTTCCCTCGGTATATGTGACCACAAATAATTTTCTGAGCTACCAATGAACATTGTCGATATCAAAATAGTGGGGGATGTTCATGTACGGAAGGCTTTAGAGGTTCTGGCACTTCACGTGCGAGGACCCGCCCATGGGGAATTTGAATCTTGAATTTAGGAACTCTTCTTTTTCAATAGTCGCTGCTTAGTGACTAGTCAGTTATGAGCCAGTCACTATTATGAATTCTGCAGGCGTAAGCGCCTTTCATTCTACCCCAAACCAAGATCCGGAGCGCGAGCGGATCCGCGATTTGTCGAGGTTTGTGGCGTTCGGCCAACATCCCTGTTCCACTGATCACCACTGATCATTGCCATAACAGATATTACTGTACAGTGACTCAAGCATTCCCGGCACCCGATGCGACGAGTTCTGAGGATCAAGAGACGCCCGCTGCACCGACGGGAGATGAACAGCCCACAGGTTGCGAACTAGCAAAGGACATCACCCTCAACGCACTCGCCCAGCTCGGCGTCCTCCGCTTCAATGCCAATCGCTGCTTCGTGTCCATAATTGACGGCGAAACCCAACATATCATTGCCGAAACGACGGGCTCAGTGTCGCTACGAGATAAAAACCGCCACAAACCAGGAGATGGTATCTATCTCGGAGCACGGTCGCTGGACCTGATCTGGGGTGTATGCCCCCACACCGTCAAATTGTTCACAGGCCGCGCGACGGAAGATATCGATACCAGCAATGTAACCGCCAATCGCACGCGCTATATCATTCGAGATTTCACCCTGGAGGATTGCTTCAAGGACCGACCTTATGTTCGAGAGTGGCCGCACATGCGCTTCTACGCAGAGGTGCCTCTATTCAGCGCATCTGGATACGTTCTGGGCTCTTATTGCATCGTCGACGACAAACCATGGACGGAATTCGGAGACGAACAGATCAATGACCTCCAAGAAGTGGCGGATGCCATCGGATTGCATTTGGAGAACGTGCGGATGAGCCTGGCCCACATTCGGACTGAGAAATTAGTCAAGGGCTTGACGAATTTTGTTAAAAACCACGCAGACTTTGATCCAGAAGAGGCCTCTAATCATGGCCGTCTCCAGTCTAGCGTCAATGCAGCGAATCTCGTACCACACAAAATTGCCGCCACCACTCCCGACGCCGACGCTGACGCCGACGGCGAATCCGACATCACCCCGGTGCTTGATGTCTCATTGTGTCCTGCTGTTCAATGTGCTTCTCCCAAATCCGGACAATCGTCTTCCTCGACCGTCGCGGGGGACGAATCTATGTTCTTCTTGCAGGACCGACGCACCGTGACGGAGCCTTCGTCTTTGTACTCTGGTTTCTCAGATCGACCAATGGTACTAAGCCCCGGCGAAGAAAAGTCTATGGGCGAAGCATTGAAGTCAGGAGAGACCGGTGCACCCCAGGGTATTGATCAAGGCTTCTCGCAGTTATCATTGACCGAGAGCAAGCCCATATATGAACGCATTTCGTCTATCTATTCGCGGGCAACTGCTTTGCTCCGGGACTCCATGGATCTGGACGGGGTTGCATTTCTCGATGCCTGTCCAACTAATTTTGCCTTGTGAGTACGTCGGTCTTGCTATCGAGCGGTATTTAATAACATTTTTCGTCAGTGTACCCGAACAACCAGAAGCTTGGGAGCCGACAGTTGCAGATCCCGGTTTCCCGGCTGCACCGCTGCCCAGTCCGCTCGGACAACCTAGGGCTGTGCCGCAGGAATTCGACCTTCCATGCGATACTTTGAGTTGTGCGCTAAAGATGCCATCTAAAGGCAGTGCTGGTCCGAATAATCAACCCAGTGTACCGCAGGGATTGCTTCATCAAATGGTCAAGGCTTTCCCCCAAGGTCAGATTCTGAGTCTAGATGAGACCATTGAAGAAGGCGATTGTCTCTTCAATGATAACACCACCACCTTTGATTCTCGGCCTGATAACAACACCCACACCTGTGCAAAACATTTGGCACGTTGTCTTCCCGGTGCTAAATCCGCCCTGTTTCTTCCTTTGTGGGATTGGAATAGGTCTCGTTGGCTTTGTGGGGTGTTGGTATGGACGACAAGCAGTTTCCGGGCTCTCGGGCTAGAGGAGTTACACTATTTCAAGGTTTTTGGTGATTCTTTGATTTCTGAAGTTTCCCGAATTCATTGGGCAACTACCGAGAGATCAAAATTCGATTTCATATCCTCTGTCAGCCACGAGCTTCGTTCACCACTGCACGGAATACTGGCTAGTGCTGAATTATTACATGCCACCTCTCTCAGCCGATCACAAGAAGAGATGGTGGCGATGATTGAAAAGTCTGGATTGACCTTGCTGGATACAACGAATCACATGTGAGTCCACCCGAGTAGGCTTCCTGGATCTAAACATTGTTCTAATATCTTCTAGGTTGGAATTCTGCAAGGTCAACAACTTGAGACATACAAACACCCTAAATGAAATGACACCAGAAAATGACACGGCCAATCTTGTTTCCGATTTCAACATTAGCCATTTGGTGGAAGAGGTTGCAGACATATTGTACACCGGCCAGTGCGCACCTGAGCAAGTGAGCCAGCTCGCTAAACGGATGTCATCCAACAAGGAAGCAACTGATTCTATCACCAATGATTCCAGCGCACAAGACCAAATGTCCGTTGTCATACGAGTCGATCAAACAGACACCTGGATGATTCGATCTTTTGCAGGTGCCTGGAGAAGAATTGTGATGAACCTTCTCGGCAATGCGATGAAGTGGACCACAGCTGGCTTCATTGAAATAGCGTTATCAAAGGCAAGGGGCCGATCGGGTTCCCAGTCACCCCTTGTTCGCCTCTCCATCACTGATACCGGCTGTGGTATCGCTCCCGATTTCATCAAACACAAGCTGTTTGCCCCATTCGCTCAAGAAGACCCGCTCTCTGAGGGCGTCGGGCTGGGCCTGAGTACGGTACAGCAATTGGTAATGTCGCTCGGGGGGCATGTAAATGTGAGGAGTGAGGTGGGCGTTGGGACTCAGGCCGATGTCTATATCCCCGTCCAATATCTACCGCCAAGTCTTGGTCCGGAGGACAGCCCGGCTCCGACAACCACTCAGCCAGGAACCACCCCAATGCATGCATGTCTGGTAGGCTTCAATGGCTACCCTGACATCAAAGAGGCACCCACTGGGATTCTCACCGTCGAAGGCAAACGAAACCTTTCCATTCAGAGTGCACTGGCAAACATCTTCATGACGAAGATGAAGTGGAATATCTCCCTGGCTAACTCCATCGAGGAGGCTCATGGCCAAGTCATTGTCATTGAGCAAGAGCTCCTCAGACGAGCTATGAATGAAAATGATCAACGTGTTTCCGAACTTGCGGCTCAGAATGGCGTTGACTTCTTCATCGTGCTGAGCGGCAATGTCCCCATCATACTGGACAGCCTCTCTGTCAACGTCATCCGCGTTGCCCAACCGTATGTTACAATTGATCCTTTTTTTGGTATGAAAACTAATCCTTTTTCCAGATTTGGGCCACAGAAGATTTACAACGCCGTTGAAAGGATCATGAAGTGGCGCGAAATCCAAATACCACCCGCTCCCCGTGCGCCCGATGCTGCTTTCTCGCTCATGGCTCCGCAGACAAAAACAGGAAACAGTTCAGACTCAGGCCCAGGTATCTATGATAGAGGGATATCCGAGTATTCACATAAACCAACGAGCTCATCAGGAGGATCAAGCGCCTCCACGCCCCGACCATCCAGCAAGCAAGCACTGGCCCATGTGCTCATTGTGGATGATAATGAAATTAATGTAAAGGTAAAGCCCCACGCCGCTTCCTAGTTCCAAGCACCACTGACACAAACACTAGATTATGGCCACTTTCATGCGCAAAATAAACTGCAGCTACGACACGGCCCACAACGGCCTCGTTGCACTGGAGAAATACAAATCCTCCAACGTTCACTACGACTTCGTCATGATGGATATATCAATGCCGGTGATGGACGGCCTCGTCTCAACGAGCAAAATTCGTGAATTCGAACGCGAACATGGTCTCAAACCCTCTTGCATCATGGCTGTCACTGGAGTTTCCTCCACTGGCTTCCAGCACCAAGCTACTACGGCTGGTATCGATAACTACCTCATCAAACCCCTCTCCCTTCGCGCGCTCAGAACTCTTATGAACATTGCATGATACCATTTATCTGAATTTAGGGGCCGGTTCTTGACCCTCATTGCACAGCATGGCGTTGACTTTTTTGGGTTCTCAATTTTCAGGTTTATCTGCGATGAATAAATAGACCATGAGAATAGTATCTCGGATCTAGGTTCTAATAGTCTCAAGAGACCACGTACATGTATAACGTAAGTTTGATGAATATGACACATGCCAAGGATCCCCGGATTTCACAAGTACCTACACCCTTGACATGATCCCTGTGCTGAGTGCGAATCATATGCCTCGGGTGTCTCTACTCCGTCTTGGCTTTACCAATGCTTACCCCTCTCCCCTGTTCTCTATGTGTTCTCTATGTTGTACATTATCGAGGAAAGCTCAAAATGAACTACATACCTATTGCTTCAACAGCAGATTCATGAAGTCGGATGCATAAAGGAAATCAGATGCATAAAGCGGAGCTTAAACGTATTCCAACGAGGATTCCCCTGAATACCACGATAATATTTCATTTAGTCTGTTGGCATTTATTAATTTAAATTTAGCTCTAAGAATGATCTGCTTTCACGTAAAGTCGAGTGCATCTGGAGCCTATCGCAGTGTTGCATTGGGGCAGGGGTGTTGAAATCCCATCTTTGTATGTCGCATTGGAGGAGTTGAAGACCAATCAATTTGTGTTGCAAGGGCTGTGAGTCGCTCGGGCTTTGTGTCGCTCGGGCTTTGTCATGATTGGCATGGGTCTCGTTCAGGATCGATCAATCTTCTCTAGAATGAGCAACACTGCCTTGTCGCCGTGTCCCTTTACATAATCTATAAGTTCCTCAGTGACGACCTTCACCAGGCCCTCTGCCACCAACTTCTCGACCTCAGCTTTGAATCCCGCAGGCACCCAGATCTCTTCCAGGATCGTTGAGACAACGACACCCTTGGTCTTAGTGACCCGCACAAGTTCTCGCAGAGCAGGGTCTGGTCCAACATGGCCGAGAGTGAAAGTTCCCACGCAGGACACGAGATCGTATGTACCGTCTGTCTTGCCAATCGGTCGTTTCATGTCCGCAACTGTGAGATCTCGATAGATGCCTGTCTTTCTTGCGACAGACAGCATGGCGGGAGATAGGTCAAGGCCGTCGATTGCCTTGGCATTAGCCATTGCAAGAGCCACTCCCACCAGTCCAGTCCCACAACCGGCATCTAGTATCACGCTGTTTGAGGCGCCGTTTGAGAGTCCGTATTTGATGGCGGCTTGAGCGACAAGCACGGGAGCAACATAGTTTTGAGCACTGTCACCAACCTCATCGTCATATGAGGCTGCCCATTTCTCGTATAGAGCCATGCAATCTTCGGTGCTGCCACTGGCACGGGCTTGACTGAGGTATAGTTCGCTAGCCGAGCTTGAGGCCTTGGCCTGGTGTGGAGTTGGGGCCAACATCGTGGGGAGTTGAGGTTGATTTCCGAAGAAGGGGCTATGCTAAATGGTTTAAGAGGTTGGGATATTGCGTTTTCTTGTGAAGGGTCCTTGGTAGTTTCTGGTCTCAGAGATTAGAATCGAGCAGTAGTATGTTTCCAACCCTGTGCCCGACGCCCTTCTTATAGTAAGTTTGAGCGGTATGTCAGTGCGCACATGGCTTAGACATAGAGGATAGTCCGTGATTAATGGCGTGATGCGGGGTTACTGACTAGGAAACCCCAAAAGAGTGACGTTTCGTCGATCGATGATGTCGGTGGAACAGAGTTTCAGGCGAGCTGAGCCTGGGCCTGGGCATGATGCATGTTCCTACGCTAAATACGTACCCCTCCAGGCTACTATTTTTCTACCGAGGCAATGAAAACTGCTCTGTTTTATTCAATTCATCCCTAGGTTGAAGTAGCGGGCATCGGGGTCGACTTGAGGCTTCGACTTGAATCGTACGCAAACACGGGAGAATCTCAATTGGGAATTCCATGTCTGTGGCATACATAATCGCCCGTAACGGACCTATCTGGAGCAGCCTTCCCTGCCAGTCGTCCCATGCCAAGGGTGATTTTACTTGGCCAATCATCCGATCTGGTCTAAGCATGCAACTCATTCTCCAGATATCCCCCATCAATCAAGATTAGATTGGCGTGGATGCGCCCCACCGGGATTCCCACTAAAGTGCCGATCTATTTCCTAGATAGGTTTGGCTCCATCTTAGCCTCAATCTATTCCAAGGTCGACGGAGTAATGGGGTACCTAGGTAGCCGTGAAGTGATCAACCTCATTTTTCTTGTCCGTTCTCTTTACGTGCAACTATGCATCATTGCCTAGTTGCCATTGGATATTGTTTTCTCTAGGTTTCGAGGGCGGCATTGCATCGCGTTCAATCCAATAGCAGCGAATCCATGAACCCGGGTTTGGAGAGAGAGAATAATAATTTGCCGCGGTAGCCAGTGAAGACTGATGGTCAGTGACATTTCCTGTCGGACTCCGCATAGGCCCTATTTGGCGACGTGCAGATCACGTGTGACATTTTACTTGTGGCCTTGATTTTAAGGCTCGATGGCTTTCCTTCCATTTTGGGAACCTACATATTTGCCCAGCTCTCTCTCCCAATAAAAGCTGGACGGGGACTTGGGACTTGGATTATATTGAATATTTGAACTATGTGATTGCCCATGTGGCGGAGCATGCCCAGAAATTGAACAAAGGGAGTGGAGGACCAGTAGGTTTTCAAGCTAGAAAGCAAATAAGAATCGAGGGATGATGGGGTGGGCGATGATGGAGGGTACATGCATTTCAAACTACCAAAAGAGTCCAAATATCACGATGCCTTGGTGCCTGAAGCATCAGGTCACCTAGGAGTTACCATAACTACATGTACTTAACTACCTTGTTCTTTCCACAATCAATTCTCTTCTCCGACCAACACCTCGAACTCCTCAAATCCTTTGCCCATGAGACACGATCTCATTGCAAAACACCACAAAACTACCCCAAGCGAGGACGAATCTATGCCGAATGCTGCAGAAATTGCATCTCTCCAGGCATTTGTCTAAATTCCATCGAGGTTGTCTGAAAGATGAGACACAAGGTACGGCCGCACGAATACCCTTCATCGTTTCTTTCCCTACTATTCTATAAAGAAAGATTCTCAAACCATCCCTTCCACGCCTTTTTCGATGCCATCATGAACTGACAACAATGAGGACTAATGAGCCGAAACAAGCATCTGCGGTCTCGCCGATGAGATAAAATATCTGGAGACGAGTTTCTCGTCAACCAACCTCCAGCCTACGACGAATATATGGGGAGAGTTTGGAAATGCCTCGAACTTTCCTCCCGCCGTGTCTCAAATCCTCCGCTACCATACCAATATTGATGCTATGAATTTCGAGTTTGCGCTACGAAACAAGCCTCTGCATCTGAATGTCGTTCGCTGCGTGCTGCCCTTATCGAGGTGGAACGGGTTGTTCCCAGCTTTGTAGCATGAAAGAACACAACAAACACTATCTATGATCCCATTAATTTGTGAATCCCGGACATGGACGCTTGTATCTCGATCTTCGTTAATAATACGGGAGTTCGCCAAACTGTGAGAGCCTTCATTCGGAACAAGCCATTCTGTCTCGGCCTGAACTACGACAAGAGGTATATCGTCTTATCAGACCCCACTCGCGCATGAACCCTCTTTCCTATTTATTTCCCCATGGCTCCCTGACTTCGAGCTAAAAAGAAAATCGGATAAAGAGACGCTCTCGACGCGCTCAACGCGCTGAATGAGTTTTGTCTTGAAAACCTAATGATACACAAGATCCCTTCCTTCACCGCCGACCTATGGTTCCGTCTACTTGCCGTTTTCGATGGATCATTGCCTGAAACTGCCTCCGATGGTTCACTGCATGGATCTGCCTTCCAATGATACTAGACACACAACTTTACCTCACTGGCGTTTGAATTGTCTGGCCCTGACGCTACATTTAACATGGGCCTGTTCGGCGCCATATCATCAAGTTCATTGGCTTCGTTCGTTCTTTTTTGCCTCAGTCTTCCATCCGTAGTGTACTGTCATACCATGATTTTAAAATGGGAGGACACTGCCCTCGTCGTCTTATCGTAGTCTCCTCAAAGTATCCTCGCTGTATCCTCGCGTCCTCGCGTTCCCGTGTCCTCGTGGTGTCCTCGTCGTGTCTTGACTGCTCCTAACAAAAGCATTTTCACCTCATTGTCTAGCTCGGCTTATAAGGCCTAGATTGTGACCCATCCCATGTTCGTGTTCACTGCTGATTATCGACAAATCTACAAGACTGATTGTAATATCAGCGAGATACCTAGGAAACTGTAGTCGATTAGGCTTTCTAGCAACAGTTCAACATACTTGTATACTATTTCATCCTATCAACAGAGTTTCAAATATCACGTTTCTGCCACCGATGAGCGGAGGCGGTTCATTTATGATTTCTTCCAAAAATATCTCGAGAAAGACAACCGGGCCCTTACAAAATAGAAAAAATTTTAAAAACAAAAACATACAACAGTGAGGATTCGCTGGTGGTCACCCACCCAACTACTAACTCACCGGCGTGTGGCTTAAGTACGGCTGAGCGGACGGGAAGCCCTGTTTTCCACACCCTATGGTCGTATGTACAAAAACCAGCATGGGAGAGGATTATAGAATGGAATCAAATGGTAAATGCTATAGATAAATGAAAAATGACCCCCGAGTGAGATTGCTCTTAGCATAAATTATTGTCGCTGCTATATCATCACTGTATAAAGCTGATCAGTAGCAATTGATTTCTATGGAGTGGATGAACAGGCCAAGGTTGCATGTGTATTCGCGCCACTGGAGTTACCTGGCTCAGGTAGAACTGCGGAAAGATGCTCCGTACACAGTTTGTCTTCGTTCTCACAAATGATGAGTTGGTGCTAGCGGAATTCCTGCGCGAATAAGAACCGGCACCACAACTCTATGATCAACGTAGGCTAAGGTCATCAACAAGACCCCTACTACAGCCTGGCCTGTCAGATGGAACTGCGCCACCATAAGTCTCTATATTCTTGAACAGGAATCACTTTTGGCAGAGATACACGCCCCAATAGAATTTGACCAACAAGTTATTCGTGTTCGCACCATTTATAGAGCAGCTGCGCTCACAGCTTTTACGCGAGCGCAACTCATACCTATCATATAGATAAATTTATTGATATTGGTTCACTTTCAAAGACTGTAATGACCGACTATAATGATCGATCCGACCACATAATCTTACTTCATTCGTTATAGGTGTGTATCCCCACAGGTTGCAGGCAAGTCCGACCTCTGCATGGTTTGAAGGACGGGAATCTATAGAACACCTGATCAATTTTGGCTCCTTGAATACTGGCTGGCATAACTCAATAGCTTACCTTTGCTCAGGAACTAGCTCAATCCTTTCACAGCGGCATTCATCAACTGTAGCATGTCTTTCCACAATGGCATTCACCGGTTTGTGTATTGCAAGTTCCATACTTATCGGGGCAGCACTGTGTGGGTTTTTTGGCGGCGCAGTTCTTCACGATAGTACATGTATTTGTGCCTTGCTCCGCGGGTGCAGCGGCACCCAACATAGCGAGAGAGAGGACAAGGGCGATTGGAACGGAGAGAAACTTCATTTTGATATAGTGTTGGGTGTGAATATTGGATTGGATTGACTGGGTTGAGATCTAAGACAGACTCTTACAGCAGGGCATGAGGCTATATTTATATATTCTGCAACTACTCACAATTCTAAATAAAAGCCCTATATCACATCGGTGATATGCCTAAATATGACACAGCATCAGAGAGGCAACTATGCAGGAGACTGGAGTCACTAGATGTATGATCAGCATTAACGCTCTAAAAGTTAGTCGCATGGTATTCTACAAAGTGGTGTCGAATCATGTCGTAGGCTTGGAATTCTTCCTTTTACTCGGGTTAGAAGAATTCCTCTTGACTAATAGGGGATTTATGCAAGTTATCAAATCCGGTCATATGGAGCACTTATGGTGAGGCTATCAGAGGACGAGCTCTATTGGCAGAGACGGTGTCGATCCTTTGTTAAGCCCCTTGCATCAGAGCAATTGTCCACGAGCATATTCTAAAACTCATTTAGGTTTGACAAAGTCAGCCTTCCGTACCCCAAAACTTAATCAAACCCTGCTTTTCCATAATAGTACTAATCCTACAGTGTTTGAACACTACATAGCATGTGTTTTATCCAATCCAATCGCACCCGTACATGATAGCTAGTAGACTTCCGCACCGGCCCACAAAGCCCAAAGCCCAAAGCCCATAGGGCTTTAATAGGGGCCCATTAGCCCCCAAACAATACAAATATGCCAAGTTGAATCCCCTTTTTAGGTTATTTTAATTACCCTATGTTTAGCACCGTTTCTAAGCCTTATCCCTAATGTAATATTATATTAGTTTGAATGATCTAGAATCGATT